AGACGCCGGACACCAGGAATCAAACCACAGAAGGAACTAAAACTGCCGGAAAGGCACCCAAAGTTCTGTGCGCCCAACCCCCTGCCCAGACCCACCCACCAAGACCCTAAAACCCCCTGACGACAAAAGCGCCATCAGTGGGCGCACTAGGGACGGAACCCCAGCTCCCGGGGCTGCCGGCATTGACCCCATATTGACCCCACACCCCCGCTGAGAGCTTGGAGCCCTCTCCTTTGGATGTCCCATCCCCCAGCCCCCTGCTCAGATAAACCACCTGGGAGGCCACTGCCCTGCCAAGCGCCACCCACTTGACCCTTCCGGTCTTCTAGAAAGCGCCCTCATCCCCAGTGCCTGCTGGGGTCCCTCCCACTCTGGCCCCATTCCTTCTCCGCTCGGCCTGCCTGGGAGGGGGAAGAGGAGAAGGAGAGACAGAGAAGAGACAGACAGACGCACAGACAGACACTGGCTCCGGCCTCCAGCCTCTTCTCTTGAGACACGGAGACTCAGGCTGCACCTCAAAGTGCTTGATGTGTCCAGGCCCCTGCTTCACCAGCCTCAGGTCTAGGGTGTCACCTCGCAGTGGGAGGGAAGGCCCCCGCCGCGTCCAGCCAGACTCCCTGGGGAGACATCCTGTCTCGGGCACCGCCACGGAGCCAGCCTTCCTCCCTGCTTTCTTGTCAGCGCGGTCACCTCGGAGGGGGAGGGGGAGGACATCTCCTGGTGGCAGCTGGTTCCTGGGCTCTGGCTCATTCCCTGCCCAGGGGGTCCCCCGCCCTAGGCTCTCAGCACAACAGCCCTGCCCAGGTTGAACTGCCCCCACGCCCACCCTGCCCCGCCCTCCCCCTCCATCCTGCCCCCTCGCACCGGCCCAGCACCCCGTCCAACAAAGCGGCACCTTCAGAAGGAGGGCAGGACCTGAGCTGGCTAGGGTACTGTTCCTGGGCACCCCTCAAACCCTAATCTCACAGACTGGCGCAGCCGCTGTGGCAAACAGTGTGGAGTTTCCTCAAAAAATTACAAACTGATCTGCCGTTTGACCCAGTGATCCTACTTCTAGGAATATATCCTAAGAACCCCGAAACACCAACAGAAAGAATATCTGCACCCCTATGTCCATAGCAGCGCTAGTTACAAAAGCTAAGATCTGGAAACAGCCCAAGTGCCCGTCAGTGGATAAAAAAGCCGTGGTACATTCATACAATGGAACACTATGCAGCTGTAAGAAGCATCTCTCACCCTTCGAGACGGCACGGAGGGACCTGGAGAGTATGATCCTAAGCGAAATATGCCGATCAGAGAAAGACAAGTACCACATGATCCACTTATTTGTGGAACACAACGAACAAATAAACTGACAAACAAAACAGGTCCTGAGGCATGGACACAACACATGGAACAGGACAGATCTGGGGGGGGAGGGGAGGGAAGAGATCAACCAATGAACTTATGTGCATGAATGCACAGCCCATGGACACAGACACGAGCATGGGGAAGGCCTGGGGTGGGGCAGGGTGTGGGTGGGAGAGGACAGAAAGAGAAAATAGGAGACATCTGTAATACTGTCAACAACAACAAAATGTTAAAAGAGCCCTGGCCGGTTTGGCTCAGCGGTTAGAGCGTCCGCCTGCGGTCCAGAGAGACCCGGGTTCGGTTCCCGCTAAGGGCATGTACCTCGGTTGCAGTTTGTCCCCGGCCCTGGTTGGTCGTGCGGGTGGCAGCCACTCAATGTGTCCTTTCACATCGATGTTTCCCTTTCTCTCTCTTCCTCTCTCTCCCTCCCACTCTGTCTGTACAAAAAATGGAAAAATGTCCTCGGGTGAGGATAAAAAAATAAAATAAAATAAAATAAAATAATAAAATAAAATAATAAAATAAAATAAATGTTAAAAGAAAGTAAAAGACGAGGTAGTATTAAAAAACCCTGAGGTCTTCGGTAGGTGTGACTGACGCTCATAATCAGTTGACTTGAATAGGGACGGTCACTGCGGTGGTCTGGGTGGGCCTGGCTCAATCAGGTGAAAGGCTTTCTGAGCAGAGCTGAGCCTTTGCCTGGAAGAAGAGGGTCCCGCCAACCCTATGGACTTCGGAGTGGCCAAGCCAGACCCACAATCAAGCAAGCCAACCCCCTATAACAAAACTCTCATTGTCCACCTTCCCCAGTCCTGGCTCTCCTTAAACACTGGCTGGGCCCTGGCCGGTTTGGCTCAGCGGTTAGAGCGTCAGCCCACGGACCAGAGAGGCCCGGGTTCGGTTCCCACTAAGGGCACGTACCTCGGTTGCAGTTTGTCCCCGGCCCCGGTTCTGGTCGTATGGGCGGCAACAACTCGATGTCTCTCTCTCACATGGATGTTTCTCTCTCTCTCTTCCTCCCTCTCTCCCTCCCACTCTATCTGAAGATAAATGCAAAAAAGTTCTCGGGTGAGGATAAGAAAAGAAAAAAACACTGGCTGGTATGCACCCTCCAGGCTCCCTCTCCCTCCCCGTCAGGGTCCTGGCGTCCCCGAGGCAGGTCGTGCCAGCCACCCACAGGGCATCAGATGGCCCTCATGTCTAAGTCCGTGATCCCACGTGTGGACTGTGTTAGTGATTGTTCCCCCATTTTGCAGATAAGGAAACTGAGGCCTAGCAAGACCAAGTTTATGATCCTGCAGCCAGGACTCCCACCGTCCCCCCCAGGGGGAATTTGCCTTGCCCGGGTCCATGGGCTCCCGAGCATAAGAAGCACCCTTGGGCCGCAGGCTTCTGTGCACGCTGAGCCCTGGTAATACAAGAGCTCCTGGGACCCCACCACGCACCCCAGCAGGCAAGGGGAAGGGGGCAGCCTCGGCCTCCTCCCCGTCCCTCCCACCTGCAGCCTGCCTCGGGAGGGGCTGGAGGGGGCTGGCTTCGGGAAGGGGAGCCCTAAGGCTCGTCCAGCCTGAGGATCCAGCACCCTGACCAGCCACCCTGTGGATCAGGGGCTGTGCTCCCCAGGGTTCCCCGAGACCCCTCAGTGTGCATTGAGGCACCCAAGCCACCCAGAAACCACAGTGCACACACTCCTCCGTTTCAGTGTTTTATTAACAAAATCTTACAAAAGAGTCTGTCTTCAGGGAATGTGGTGGGGCTGCCCACAGCCTGGCCTGACGCTGAGGCTTGGTTCACGGGGGCAGGGACCCAGGGCCTCCCTGCAGCCTGTGAGAATTGGGTTATGGCTCATGTGCAAAAACAAATTTGGGGGGGGGCAGGAGCATGGGGTGGAGAGCTGGCGGTCACCTGCAGACATTGGTCCCTGAACCTGGGAACCCCCAGTGGACAGGCAGAAAGGAGAACCTCACACAGGACCTGCCCTGCGGACACCAGGGTGTAGGTGCCAGGGAGGTGGGGGTCCAGGCCTGGGCAACAGCAGGGCTGGCAGGGAGCCAGCTTGAGCCCCAGGAGCAAAGGCTTTGGGACATCCTGGGGCTGGCCGTGGGGCCACTGGGCAGGGGCAGGCGTTGTGGCCTCAGCCCCCGGGCTCTCGGAGAGCCTGGCAGGAGAGGGAGGATGGCCACGCAGTGGGCGGGGTTTCTGGGCTGGGACGAGACAGGGCCGGGGTAGCAAACCCCGACTCCAGCCACAGTGGCCCTGCGGGTCAGCAGGCTGGCAGCCAGTGGAGCGGGCACAGTGACAGGCCCTGCTTCACACTGGCCGGTCTTCAGCAGCAGCTCTCCGCCAGACCCCTCCTCCCTGCAGCCCACTTCCCTTGCTGGCCGCAGACGTCTCCTGGGCAGCGGCTTGAGGGAGAGCGGCAGGCAGCGCCAGGCACAGCAGCGAGGGCTCTGCAGGAGCCTAGAGACCTGAGAGAAGGAAGACACGGGCGTCAGGGACAGGGAGGGTGGCTGGGGTCTGGAGGGAGGACATACAGGGCTGCTCTCTGGGGCCAAAGCCCCCGGGATCCTGCCTCCCAGCTTGCCCCCCGGCCTGGGGAAGGGGCCTGAGCCCTGGGCCCTAGGGAGGGACTCAGAGGCCCCTAGTGAGGACAGTGGAGCTCAGGGTCTCGGGTGGGAGGGTTGGGCTCCATTACCTGTTGTCACTCTCCTGGCTCCATGGACACCAGCTGCTGCCTCAGCCGGTTTGGGGACTCGGGCCCCATGGGACCCTCTGCCTGCCATGAGTGAGTCACCTGGCAGAGCTGGAGCCTTCGCCAGACTGGCACGAATCACAGGTGCTGCTGTGGGGAGAAAGCACGGGGTCCGTGTGAGAGCTGGCTCAGCAAACTCCCCTGGCCCTGCCTCCCACCAGCCCCCCTCCCAGCCCTGGAGTCCCTGCTTCTTCCCACCTCTCCACAGGCTACCCCCACCCCAGCCCTGCAGCTAACTTGCTGGGGTGTCTCTGAGCCTCGTGGGCTGGCCGGGAACATGGACTTGGCCCTGGGCCCTCCCGGCTCTACGGCGACCCCTGGCGGGAGTGCCCTGACGCAGGCGCTCACCTGAGGGGCCAGGAGACTGGACACAGGTCTGCTGCTGCTGCTGCGGCTGCCTCTAGGACAGGGAGCCACCTGTCCACTGTCCAAGGGTGGCTGGCTGGCCTGCACGGCGACCGCCGGGAGAGAGCTTCGGCCCCCATGGCACTGGCTGTGTCCTTGCTTCTGCTCTGGGGTGGCCCGAGTGCAGTGCCCACTGGCGCATGCCCTCTGGAGGTGGACCGCAGGTCGAGGGCCCAGGCACTGAGCAGGACGAGGAAGCTGGACGTCCTGTCAAGGCCTGAGAGTGTGTGGGTGTGTGGGGGGTGGGGACTGGTGGACCGGGCAGGCCCAGGGCCCCGGAAGACAGACGGAGGGAGGGGGAGAGGCCTCCTTTGCTGTTTGGGGGCACTGTCCATAACGGGATGATTGTGTCCCTGGGAACCAGGCTGGGAGGTTAGGGGTGTTCACCTAGACGAGGGTGAGGGCTTCCCCGCGAGGGAGTCAGATCAGCTTGAAAGTCCTGGCTGGCAAAGGCCACAGGGATGTGGCGGGCAGACTGGGCCTGGGACGCCCTCTATTCGGGCTGGGTCCGGTCACTGGCCACAGACTCGTTGGTGAGGGCTGGCGTGACGGCCTCGTCCTCCGTGGGGGGCTGGGGGCCAGCGGGCTCAGCCGCCAGCTCCAGGTCGTCCTGCACCTCCATGCCCCTCTGGATGAGCTGCTCCAGGGTCTTGGGCAGCGGGTGGCGCAGGAAGCGCTTCAGCTTGGGCTGCAGGGTGCCCACCACGTACTGGATGACCTCCTCCTCGTCCGCGTCCACGTACAGCGTCTGGTACAGGTCCCGCTTGCGCCACAGGAACTGGTCCAGCGGCTCGCCCTGCTTCTGCGGCAGGTCCAGCTCGCGCTGCAAGGCCTCCCGGGACAGCGTGCCCTCGCTGTACTGCAGGAACTCCTTCTTGAACTCCACCCAGTTCTTCACGGAGCCCTGCTTGAACTCCCACCACTTCTTGGCTGGCCCGTTCATGTGGTTCTGGACCTGGGACAGCCAGTACTCCTCGGAGCCGCCCACCTGCCGCAGGTACTCCTCCAGGTGGCTGAGGAACTCGTGCGGGTCCTCGAAGATCTGAGTGTCCACACCAGGGTTCGGCTGCCCGTCCTCACTGGACCCCCAGGGCGGGTACTGCTGGGCGTCCTCCAGCTCCTCCTGCCCGGGCAGCTGGCCGGCAGCGGGCGGCGGGGTGATGGCGTAGGGGCTGACCGTGTAGTCGTAGCCCTCGGCCTCCGGGCAGCAGCTCTCGGGGCCCCCGACACCCACGGAGACAGTGTGGCGGGCCGGCTCGCTGCCCACCGGCTCCTTGCTGCCCATGGCCTCCAGGCGATCTGCCCACCTCTCCAGCCGGTAGAAAACCTCCCGCCACACGTGCATCTCGCGCTTGACCCAGCGCTCCAGGTTGGCGATGGTCTCCTGGCAGCGGCACAGGCAGGCCTTGATGGACTTTTTCCAGCGCTGGGAGTCGCCCGTGGGCACGTAGCCGTCCAGGTTGTTCTCCAGCTTGCCCACGGACCTGTGCAGCCCCTTCAGCTCGCGCTCCACCTGCTTGGACACCTCGGCCAGCAGGTGCCGGTGGGTCCTCCGCACGTGCTCCAGCATCTCGGTTCGGCACTTACCGATCTGCAGGATCACGTTGGGCTTGGCCACCGGCCCGCCTCGCGGCGCGGGGTAGGTGTGGAGGCCGCCGGTCGTCCTGCGGTCCAGCTCCATCGGCGCGCAGGTGCCGCGGCGCTCGGACAGGAGGGAGGCGGCGGGCGGCAGAGTCCTCTTGGCCGGCGGGGCTGCGGGGTCTGGCCGCGCGGAGGTGCGGGAGCGCCGGCGCTGATGGGTCCCGCGGCGGAGGCTCTGATGGGTCCCGCGGCGGAGGCTCTGATGGGTCCCGCGGCGGAGGCGCTGATGGGTCCCGCGGCGGAGGCTCGTTCCACTGGGCCCGGAGCGGCGGCGGCGGCAGCGCAGGAAGACGGAGCAGGAGCAGCAGCGCCGAGCTCTGCACCCAGCCGCCCGGCGCCGGCTCTTTATGCTGCCAGCGCGCCCGTGGGCGGCCCCCGCGCGGAGCCCCGGCTCCCATTGGCCCGCGCGCCCACCCTGCGGGCCCGCCTCCGCGCCGGCTTCTCTAGGCGCAGAGGGAGGACCCACCCCCTGCACACACGACAGGCCGGGGTGACTAATCCGCTGACTCCGCCGCCCCCTCCCCCGGCTCATTCAGCCAGCAAACCCGAGGGACGTGCTGGGGGCCAGCGACCACCCCCCGCGCCGCGGGGGCAGGAGGTGCAGGTGTGTGCCTGGAGGGGCTGGGGCTGGCGGGTAGGCTGCCCCATGCACAGGGTGAGGAGGGCCCCTCCCCCAGGGCTTCGGGGTGGGATTCCGCCTCTCGTCCCTCCTTGTTGGAAAGGGGGGAGGGGTGCTGGCGCTGGACTCTGCCTCCTGGGTCCTCATTCCCCCATCCTGACCGGAACCCCGCCCAGTCCAGCTGCAGATGCCCAGCGGTAGATTAGCCCTGACAACCGCCCAGATATTCAGACCCTCCTTCCCTTGAGCGGAAGGTTTCAAGGAGCCTTCAGGTTCACAGGCGCAGGCACGCTCCCAGGTGTCAGGTGTAAGCCCAGGTGGCCTATAGCTCCTGCCCACCGCCGCCTGGGCTGGCCCTCCCGAGCTGTGAGAGGGACACGCACCCAGGCTCTGCCTGGCCCCTGGCATGGGTGTGGATGTGTGACAACCTATCCAATGGCCATGTAGTTCCCCCAGGGAAATCTGGACACCTGTCCCTGGGGCGGGGATGGAGGGGCCCACAGGGGGAACCTGGTCAGAAGCTCCAAGACCTGGGAGAAAGGAGGAGGGAGGGAGGCAGGGAGCAGAGGGTGCGGCAGACTGCTGCAGTCAGCCAGGCAGGGAAGAGGGCACCATATAAGGAATGGGGCTCCGGAAGCTGAGATTCCCCTCTGCCTCCCTGGCAACAGCCGCAGGGGAGGGATGTCCTTCCTGGGCAACCCCATGGAGGATGCGCCTGGGTCCCAGGTCCTCTGATGTTACCTGGGCACAGGTAGCACACACTGCTGCCCACGGCCAGAGGAGCGAGACAGCCACGGCCAGTCAAGAGAGCTCAGCCCTGTTGCCCCTCTCTCTCTCTCCTCTCAGCAACACACACACTGCACACTCATCCCCCTGTCATACCTCCCCACACCCGCACCCCCATTACACATGCACCCCCCACACGCATCCCCCCACTACGCACTCATCCCCCTACACAGACACGCGTCCCCCCACTACACACCTCCTACATGCACACTCATCCCCTCCCCCTCACACAGCCCCACACTGTCTTGTTCACTGCCTAGGACACAGCCCAGGGGCCCACACTCTGGGACCCCCAGGCCCCTTCCCCCTGCTCCAGGAGCCCTCCTCCCCACCCAGAGCCAATCTGTCTCCGCCTTTCCTCTGAGCTTCCGCCCCTGCTTTGGACGGGAAAGTCTTTCTGGCACAAATTTCCCCAAAAACCGCTCTCCTGGCATTTCTAATTAAAGGCGAGTGGGTGGCAGAGGAGGGGGGGCAGGCGGAGAGGCTTCCAGAACAGGAATCCCGGCGCTGCCCGGCATTTCCCAGAGCCGCAGGAGACCTCGGGCCCGTGTGCGATGCCTGTGGGCTGCGTGTGGCCGGGCAGCCAGTGTGGCCGTCCCGGTCCCTGGGAGCAGAGAGCCTGTGCCATGGCTGAGGTGAGCTGGGGCTGTGTCTGAGGGCCCTGGTCAGGGAAGGCGCCCCCTGGGCGGCTGGGCAGGGGCCGCACTCACCCGCCTGTGTGCACCACACCTGTGTGCAGGGCAAGCACCAGGGCCAGCGCCTGAGTGACCAGGAGCCACCGTCCACCCCCCAACAGTGGCCCCACCCCACCAAGATAGCAGTGGTCTGCTGCCCGGCTCCCTGGCGGAGGAGGAGCCCAGCCAGGGCCTAGGGGGCCAGGAAGGGGTTGACCAGGCAAGAGAAGCTGGTAGGGTACAAGAGGGGCTGGGGGAGGGGTGAACAAAGGCAGGAGATTGGAAGGTTGGGGGGGGTAACACATCACCCTTGTGGGGGAGCCAGGCCTGACAGGGGGTCTCAAGGTTGGGTTGGGCTTGACCCAGACACTTGGGGTCCCCCTTTCATGGCCAGTCCAGCCTGAGTCCGGTGCAGGGGAGATGCCAGGGCAGAGCTGGGCAGGACCTGCACAGAGGCTGTGCCCGCGGGCCCCGCAGTGACAGGTGACAGGCTGCAGCTCTGCCTGCTCTGGGAACATGTAATCGCTGCCCAATTATCGCCCCAGAGCCCTCAGCAAACCTCCGCACTGGAGCCTGGGGCTCCACTCCTCCACCTCTGGAAAAGAGGCCAGCTGCTCCCCCGCCTGGGATGGGGGGTCTGCCCCTGCGCTTCCCCCCATGCCCCCCCCTGCAGAGTGCAGACCTCCACCCCCGCTGCACCCGAGCAGGATGGATCAGGCTGGAGAGGGGCAGGTGGAGGGGCAGCAGGACTGCAAGGAGGGGGAGGGCCTGGGGACTCCCCACTCTCAGAGCCCAGCTGGTCAGCTGCCCCTGGGCCTGCCTGAGAAGGAGGGGGCTAGGCAGGGTTCAGAGGGCAGGCCAGGGTGACCACAGAGGGGGATCTGCCCAGTGCTAAGATCCAGGCAGCCCCCATTCAAGCCCCTCTAGGGTTCTGACCGCCTGCCCGGAGGGCACCGGGCTCCCAGACCCCAGATGCTAAGAAGCTTATCTCAGGATGGGTCTCGCTCCCAAATCCACAGCCTCAGGGAGCCCCACTCCGGCTCCACCCCACACTGAGCCTTGTACCTCTCAGACCTCACAGCCCGCCCCCAGACAGCTCCCCATGGCTACTCTGTAACCAAGTGCTTCCCCCACAGGGCTCACCACTGCCTCTGGGGACCCCTTAGTGCTGGCTCCTGGGCCCCACCACCTGCCTCCCTTCCTGCTCCTGTGGCTTTTCAAACTCCGGGTATTTGCTGGGGCTCCCTCCCAGTCATGTTCAGTGTCAGCAGCCCTGGCCGGTTTGGCTCAACGGTTAGTGCGTCGGCCCGTGGACCAGAGTCCCCGGTTTGGTTCCCGCTAAGGGCACGTACCTCAGTTGCAGTTTGTCCCTGGCCCCAGTTGGGGGCCTTGTGGGTGGCAACCAGTTGATGTATCTCTCTCACATCAATGTTTCTCTCTCTCTCTCTGTCTTTTCCTCCCTCTCCCTCCCGCTCTATCTGAAGATAAATGCAAAAATGTCCTCGGGTGAGGATTATTTAAAAAAAAAGTTCAACGTCAGCAGCTAGCACCTGGGTGTGAGCACCAGCTCCTTGGGGAGCAGAGCTCATGGGCCACCTCGCATGCACATGCACACGTGTGCACATGCGCACACGCACATACGCGCGTGTCCACACACACACACATGCACACACACGCATATGCACACACGCACATATGACACATGCACTTGCACTCATGCATGCACACGTTCCAGCTGATGATAGCAGCTGCTTCAAGGCCCAGCCCAGTCCTTGGGGAGGAAGAGCCGGGCACCTGGGGGAGGGCCTGCCTCTCACACGGCCACCTGTAGTTCAGGTGCCCACCCTCCACACGAACCACAGCTTGGCCTGCCACCCTGTGGGCCATCCTGGGTCACATGGCCTCCTTCCATGGCCACCACACCTGAGGGAGCTGGGAGAGAAGAAGCAGGTGGCCCTGCTCCTGCCCACAGGGAGCCCCCCTAGGCCCAGCTCCTGGACCAGCACTTCCTGGTGGACAGCCTCTCCCCCCGCCCCACCCCGCCCCAGCCCAGGAGTCCACAAGCTGCAGAACCTGGGACCTCAGCCTCCCCGCTCCCAGGCCACCAGGCTGCTCCCCACTTCTGCCCGAATGCAGCCCTCCTGCTGCATCTCACAGGGCGGGAGACTGGTGGGCACAGCGCTGAGCGGCTGGAGCCCGGAGCAGGGGGCACAAGCAGGCCTTTGGGTGGGTGGGAACAGATGGAGGGCCCGGCCCTTCTCCATCCATTTCTGGTTGGGGAGGTTGGGCTCCCCTGTGAAATGGGCGACAGTGCCAGGGCCTCTTCTCTTGCCGGGTTCTGGTTCAAGCCCCCCGTCACTGTCACTGTCACTGCTGGGACCTGGGAGGCAGGCGTGCCGGGGACCCCGTCGGGCTGCTCCCTGGCTCTGTCCCTCTCCTCTGCCTGAGGCAGCACCGGGCCAGGACACGTGCCGGGCGGCTGCACGGGCCCGGGGCGTGGGCGGGTGAGCAGCCGGCAGACGGGCCTGAAGCTGAGCCCAGGCAGCTGGGAGGACACCTGGGCTCTCCCGCTGGTGCCGCAGCCCCCAGCCCCGCCCTGAGGGTGCCGCCGTGGGGCCAGGGCAGGGGACACAGCGGGTCAGAGCTGAGACTTGGGGTGGCGGTGAAGACCAAGGCAGAAAGAGGGACTGAGGTCTGGACGATGGAGGGGCAGAGAGACACCAGAAAAGGAGGGTCAGGACGCGGGTGGCCTGCTGTCATTTCTCACGGAGATGGTCTCACCCCATTTTCACAGAGCTTCTAGGAGGTGGGCCCCCCCAGGCAGCCGGCAGAGGTCCCTGGGCCACACCTGACCAGGATGCTCGCTGCAGCAGAGCTGCCTGGGGGGACCCCAGGAGCCGGGCCGGGCGGGCCGGGGGCCTCTGGAGCCGGACAGGGCACAGCTGACTGGGGGTCCAGAGACCTGAGACAGGATGTGACAAGAGCAGGGGCCTGGGCCCTGGCCTGGGGACCCAGGGGAGGCCTCGCAGAGCTGAGGGAACATTTTCTTTCTGATCCCCCCTCCCGGCTTCCTCTTCTCTGGCTTGGCAGTGTGTGTGCTGCGTCCTATCCCCGGGACAGGCAGTCTGTTCCTTCCTTCCGGCCCAACGCGCCAGGCCCCCTCCCTCCTTCCTCCTCCCTGCCTCCTGCCTCAGCGCCTTCCAGTCCAGCCTCCAAGGAAAGTTCTGTATTTTTCCAATGATCCCGGCACAGTGGTGCCTGAGCAGCTGCTCCTTGTGCCCCGCAGGCATCCCCGGCCACCACCGCACCAGGGGGCCGAGCCAAAGGGGGGTAGGCAGCCCATCCGCAGAGCACCCCACCTCTACCCCCAGCCATTATGGAGGAAGAAACAGGCCAAGAGAGGGCCAGGGGCGGGTCCCAGCCCCGAGGTGAGGAAGCCAGAGCCAGGACAGGGGGTGGGAGTCCCACCGGCTCCAGGAGCGGCCTCCAAGGGCACACAACCAGCTCTGCCTGCTGAGCCGGGAGGTGGGTGGGTCAGTCATTCAGTCAACAAACAGTGCGGAGCTGGACTGGGCAGGCACTGAGCACGGTGGGGTGCAGGGAGGCACAGATGCCCACAGCAGAGGGACGGGGCCTGCGCACGGGGCCTCTGCTCACAGCCTGGCTCAAGGTGCCGCCCTTGGCTTCTGGGGCTCAAGCTGGTCCCTCTGACACAAGTCCAAGCTGGGCTCCGGGAGAAGGGAGACCACCGCAGCACTGTGGGGTCACACCGAGGCGTGGGGGAGCTGGGGCCGAGGACAGCCCGACCCTGCCTCTGCTGAGTCTGTCCACAGCCCACTGGGCTGGAGTTGGCACCTGCCTCCTCTCCCGCTTCTCCTCAGGTCTGTGACCTCCTGCAAACCACTTAACTCCTCTGACCCTGTCATGGCCACATGCGGGGGGCACACTGGACCGGGGGGTTTGGGGTGCCGATGGCATCAGTGCGTGGTGAGGAGCGGACTGCATCTGTGACCGCTGTGACCACTCTCTCCAGCCCCCAGAAATGCCCGACACCCCCAGTGTGCGGGGCCAGCAACCCAGGGGGCCCTGAGGGGCAGGGGCAGCTGGAGGGGGAGCAGGGGAGCTGGATGCAGGGGTCTGGCAGGCGCGGATAGGGATGGCTGGGGCCACCCGTCTCAGAGGCAGGGCCGGGGGGGGGACCCTCCTCACAGTGGCTGAGACACTGGCCTCCAGCACTGGGTCTGCGGCCTGGAAGGCGGCCAGCGGGGCCACAGGTGCAGGCAGATGGGAGCTGCTCGGGCCAGTGTCCCCGCTGGAGAGCCGGTGTCCCAGATGGGAGAAGGGCCGGTCTGAGGGCTGCTTAAGGTTCAGGCAGGAGGGGCAGCAGGGCCCCAGTCGCCTGGAGACCCTGGCAGTCAGGTGTGGGAGGAGGTGCGGGCTGGCCAGGAGCAGCTGGGAGCCTCCTAGGGGTTTGGATGCCACAGGGCTTGCCCCCTCCTCTCTGTCCCTCTGGGCCCCCAGCATTGGGCCCATCTCCACTGCTTCCCTGGACGCCCAGGGACCCCAGAGCGTGCTCCCAGATCCCCAAGTGTGGCTAGCCCTCAGCCAGGGTGGGGGTTCACTGCCAGCTGGCCTGGCCAGGGGCCCCGGAACTGGGGATTCGGAACACAGTGCCAGGGAGAGGGTGGCGCGTGCTTTCCGCTGTCCCTGTACCTCCGGTGAAATCTCTCCCCGGCACCAGCAGCCGCTTCCGGAGCCATAAATGGAGAGAGGCTCAGAATAGCTGGTGACGCGCCTGGAGCCTCCCCACGTAGGCCAGCTCTGCGCCTATGAGGAGCCCTCCTGGAGGGACTCCTGCCCAGCACCCCTCTCCCCGAAAATGGCGGAGGCTCCGGCCCCCACCTGCTGCCGGCCCGCTGTGTGACCTGGCACAGTGCCACCTCCCGGTCCTCCACGCCCACAGCGCTGTGCGGGCTGGGACAGTCCTCCCGGAGCCCTGCCCAGGGCCCCTGTCCTCCCCCAAAGCCCCAGGGCTGCGGGAGCCTGGGTCCAGTGTGGCTCACCCGGCACCTACTGGGTGCCAGGAGTGGGCACAGCCTCCGTGTCTGGACTAGCCCGAACGAGGGACTGAACCCCAGGGGCTTGCGGGGTTGTTGAGGGGCACAGGCTGGGGCAGTGGACCAGGGGGCTCGCCCCTCTCCATCCCCCAGTGCCCTCCAGGCTGCAGCCAGGTCCCCTGACTGCTGGCCACTCCCTCCCCTCCCATGGGGCTGGTCCTGGGTGGCCCACCCTTCACAGCTGCCTTCCCGCCTTGCCGAAACCTCGTGTGTTCTGACATCTGACCTTCCATCCTCCACGTGGAACCTGCGGTGCAGCCAGAGTGGTGACAATGACCAGGCCGAGGGCGCTGGCCTGAGAGGCTGGGGCGGGTGGGGGGGGGGGGGCAGAGCAGTGAGAGCTGCCGGCGGTGACAGCAGCTGCCGACAGGAGAGGTCGCACTGGCCTGGGTTGGGGCCCTGTGGCCAACAGCCCGCGCCCATGCCAGCATGGGGCACAGGCAGGCTGCTGTAGGGCGTGGGGGTGTGGGGGCACTGAGGGACAATTAGGGGTGCCGTGGACCACGCCTGCCCCTGAGCCACCCCCATCTCCTCTCCACCCAGGGCAGCCCCAAGACCCCTGGTACAGGACACCCTCCAAGTCTAAGAGATGTCCGTCCCAGCAGCCCGGAGGCGGCATGCAAGGACATCATCGTCTGCCCTGTGTCTTCTCCCCAGCCCGGCGGCTCTGGGGGCAGACTGGGCTGAACCTCCTGGAGAACATGGTGGCGGCCACCGCAGTCCCCTCCACCTTTGTCCAGGTGGAGCAGCAGCTGCTCTGACCACCTCATGCCAGCAGGGTCTCGGGGGAACCCAGGACGCCTGGTCTGAGCCATGGTGCCGAGGTCACCTGTCCTGGCTGGGCCCACCTTCCAGAACGGTGGGGAAGGCCAGTGCCCACCACGGCTGCCGGGCGGCGGCCACGCTGAGCCTCCCCAGGACTCACCATTTCTCCTCGTCAGAGCCCATCAGGCTCTGCTGGTCTGCGGGCCCACACAGCCCACAAGCAGCCCGCCCCCAGAGCCCACGTGGTCCGGGCCTGGCCTCCCGGCCTGACTCTCCCAGTACCCGGCCCAGCTTCTCCCCAGCCCCTTCACGGGCTGCCAGAGCGACAGGCAGCACCCTTACTCACCACTCACCCCCACTCACAGGGCTGACTCACCTCCCAGGTGTCTCCAAGCCTCCTCTGCACCGGAGAGGCCTTTGTGTCACAGCAGAACACGTCACGCCTGGCACCGAGGTGCCCTGACGCACCTGACCGGCGGGAGGAGAGCGAAGGTGACAGCTGCTGAGGCGCAGCCCCGGGTTCTGGCCGTGAGCGTCTGACAGGAGGCTTGGAACACGCGCTAGGGAGCCGGGCGAGGGCTCCAACCGTCCCCACACCACCTTCCCCTGCAGAGACCTGGCCATTCATCTGTGAAACGAGGCTCCGCAAAACCTAACCAGACACCCTCATCGCTCCAATTAAACGTTCAGTCTCTGATGGGATCTTCAGCCCAACCGTGTTGTTTCCCTGAGTGACTAAAAATTGTCCTTTCACTTTTTTTTTTTTCCAAATCAAGAGTGAGGCGGCCTCACGCTGCCAGGGTGGGCTCCTGGCAGCCTGCCCGTCCCGGGCCCTGCAGGTGTCCCAGGAGCCCCTGCGCCTGACCAGGCAGGGAGACTGGACACAGCCACAGCAGGTGAGCAGGGGGGGGGGGGCGCGGCGGGGTGGCCAGTGAGGCTCTGAGAAGGGGACCCCGCTAACTGTGGTGAAAGGGGCAGGATGGATGACGGTCAGGGCTGGACCCAGCTGGACGGCTTCCTGGAGCCTGGGGGCTGTGCTCCAGGGCCCCGCACTGAGCTGCCCGAGGACTCAGGCCTCTGGGCCCTGCTTTGCAAAAGGCCTAGTCCTGCTCCAGCGGGGCCCTGACTGCTGGCTCCCCCCCACTTCCCCAGGCCTGAACCCACCCGTGGCCTAGGCAAGGGGGTCCGGCAACGCCTGGTCCACGGCAGGTGCCTGGAAACGCTGGCTGACAGGCTGAGCTGCCCGCCCGCCCCCTGAACTTCCCAGGCAGTGGGCACTTAGGTCTACCCGGGCTGCTGAAGGGCGATGGGGAGGTGGGATGAGAGGCTGGAGCATCGACCCTGAGCCCTGGGCAGCATCACCCTGTCCGTCCCTCCTGCTGGAGCTGGTCTAGAGGGGCCGCACCCCCCGAGGCCCTGCATGTCAGCAGTCACCAGGTCCCCACCACCCTGCCCTTGGTTTATGTGTGTTTTATGTGGTAAAACACACATAAATTCACTTCTCCCACCCTTTTGCGTGGACAGTTCAGTGGCACTGAGCAGTGTCGTCCAGAACTTCTCTTCACTGCACAGAGCTCTGTGCCCTGGAGGCCCCCCAGCCCTCCAGCCAGGCCCTGAGCAGCCTTGGGCAGGCCACAGCCTGTCCCCAACTCACTCAGCGCTTGCAGGTGGCCCCCACCCAGCTCCGCAGGACACAACCCACGCAGACGGACAGGCCACAGCGTACTCGCTACGGCAGGCGCAAGTTGAAGATGGCTCTGTGAACACCGAGTTCAACAAACAGGCTGTTTTATTGACTTAACTCTTTACCTGCAGACAAGTGCAGCCTTTTCTTTGAACTTCTGTCCTTTGAGAGTGGGGACACAGCTCCTTGCTGGGCCAGCACTCTAGGTGGCGAGATCCTGTGAGGGCGGGGCTGGGTGGTGGTGCTGAGGCCCACAGACGGGCAGAGCACCTGCGAGCCTGCTGTGGGGCCCTGGGCAAGGCAGGGTACAGGGGCCTCTTCCTTTTGAGGGACCAAGTGAAATAAGCCTGGTGCCAAGGTGGATGGGCTTAGTGGAATGAGGCCCCAGCCACCCAGGGTCAGGCACGGCGGGGGCGGGGTCCAGCAGGGAGGGTTCTCGGAACCCCACATGCCCCCCCATTGCAGGGCACTGGCCATGGCCTCCAGTCCCAGCTCCTCCCGCCAAGAAGCTGCCACCTGCCCTGACCTGGCGCCCTCCATTGTTTTAAGTGTCTGTTTAATCAAATGATAAGGAATGGGAGCCGGTGGCCTCATTCTGGAGCCACAGATGAGATCTTGGGGTGTCCTCATCAGAGCGACCAGCCACGGGCACATCCCTGAACTGAGATGAGGCCTTGTGCTCTGGGCTGGCTTTCATTAAATTCATTGCCCCGTAAAATGAGGTAAGATGACTCATTCCCAAGGGGAAGATGGGGCGTGCTGCGGCGGCCCAGCGGAGCAGACATGAGGTGGGACCCACCCACCCTCACACCTGTCCCAGCTGTCACCTGCCTGCACCAGGTCCTCCCTCTGGACAACCCAGACCCAGTTCTGGCTGCTCCCTGCCACCAGCCAGGCATCTTCTTCCCACTGAGCTCAGCCCCGCGCTCGCTTTAGGCAAAGCCATTCAGCTTCGTCCAGTCAGCGTGCGGCTCACACCTTGAGGTCTGAGCCGAAGGCGGAGGGAGGTCGGAAACGTGGAGGAACTTTCAGGAGAAGTCGTGTCACTGTGTAGGGTCGTGCCTAAAGTGGGCACACGCAAACAGGTGGCCCATAAAGCCACACGGAGGGACTTTGCCGATTGAGACCCAGCCCTTGGGACCCACCTAACACGGGCAAGGCCACCAGACCAGCAGACCAAACCCCAAGGGGCGAGAGGTGGCTTTTCTCCTCTGGGACAGGCAACCATCTCTGCCCTCGGCTCAGCCAGCGGACGCCACCTGAACGTGCCGCCAGTCCTGGGCTCCGGCCACGACAGGCTCGGGGACGTCTCAGGTTGGGTGGGCCCTTTCCGAGCGTCAGGTTAACAGCGCGAGGGGCCGCGCATGTCTTGGCCCCTGCCCTGGGCAGCTCCCGCCAGCGAGCACCACGGGCCACGCTGCTGGGTGCTGTCAGTTTCGGCCCGCAGTGGACGGGGAGCGGGCCGAGGTGGCCGGGCCCCCTGCACGCTCCTGGGGAGCTTCGAGTTTGACCACAGCCCTGAGGGCCAGGCGCCGCCACTGCCCCTGCCGCTGCCGCAGGAAGACGGAGCGCAGCGCATGCAGCTGCCCCAGCTCCTGTGCCGTGAAGCAAGGCTGCCCCTCGGCGAAGCGGAGCACGGCGTCGAAGGCCACGGCCGCCTGCTCCCAGGCTGCCTCGGCGCCCTCCCCGGCGGCCTCGGCCCCGCCACTCTTCTCTGCCTGCTCCAGGTGCCCCTCGGCCGGGTGCCCTGCTCCAGCCGCCTGCCCCAGCCCGGCCCGCTCGGCGGCTGCGCTCCCGTGGAGCCTGCTGCTCGGCCAGGACTTGACCTCCCTCCCTAGCTCCAGGACGTGAGCGAAGGTCTGGTCGTGAGGCTTGGCTCTGAGGTGCTCGGGCTCCTCCTCAGAGGACGAGCCTTCAGCCGAGGAGGCTGCGGGCCACAGCTTCCTCCAGGCCCGGCTGAAGACGGCGCGGGGCATGGCGTCCCAGGCGCAGGCCACGCTGCGGACGGCGTCGTTCACATTGTAGGGAGGGTGGAAGCCCTGCGGCGTGGCGGGGGGGCTGATGAAATTCCTCATGAAGTCCCATCGAATGCCCTGGTCCATGGGCTGAATCAAGGAGGTGACACTGGCCGGCAGGAAGATGGTGAAAATGTTCTCCGAAACCAGCTCGGACTCCTGTGGGTGGGCCCGGGAGCTGTCCAGCAGGAGGATGGCTTTGCTGTCTTCGGGCAAACCCAGGGCTCGGAAATGCTCTCTCACCGAGGGGGCAAAGACATGATGGAACCAGTCAGAAAACACGGCCCTGTCTGCCCACGCGTTCCCATGAGCCCGGTAGGCCACGGGCAAGTGCTGGATGCCCCTGGAAGCCCGGGGGCCGCTCCACTTCCCGATCACCAAGGGCTTGATCTTGTGGGAGCCTGTGGCATTGGCACACATGAGGACGGTCAGCCGGTCCCTGCTCTGCCTGCGGCCGGGCACCGGCCCGCCCTCGGGGCTGGGACCAGGCAGGCACTGCCAGAAGAGGCCCGTCTCGTCGGCATTGTACACCTGCTCCGGCGTCAGGCCGTGCTCCACGGTCAGGCTCCGGAAAAACCCACAGAACTGCTCGGCCGCTTGGTGGTCGGCCACCTGTTTTTCACTGGACGCGTCCAGCTTCTTGATGCCATGTCTGGCCTTAAAGCGCCACAGCCACCCGCCAGAAAACACGCAGGGCTCGGTCAGCTGCATCTGCTCGTAGAAGTCCTTGGCCTTCTCGATGAGCATGGGGCCCGAGACGGGCACGCCCTCGGCACGCTTGCCCAGGAACCACTCGTACAGCACGCGGTCCAGGTGCTCGAGCTTGGGCGTGTGCAGCGTGCGCCGCCGCTCCAGGGCCTTGTTGCAGTCCGAGCTGGCAAAGAAGCGCAGCAGCTGGGCCTTGTGGGCCTTGATGTCGTACAGCGTGGACATGCCCACGTTGTACTCCTGCATCAGCGCCTTCCTGCTCTCGCCCTTCTCCAGGCGCACACAGATGTCCATCTTTTCCTTCAGGGTCAGCACCACCCTCTTGCGCTTCTCCCCTGGGCCCCTCCCAGCCGCCTGCTTGGAGGCCATGTGGAGGGTGGCTTGTCCCAAAGGCGGACAGGGAGGACACGTGCCTGGGCTAGAGGCCTTCCTGCCTCCCCTTCCCCCGTTCTCTCGGCCCCCACCCACTGCCCACCCGTCTGCTGACCCTCCTCCGTGCCTCCCTCCAGGTCCAGCAACCTCTAGCCTCAGCTGTCTCTCATCTTCCACTCCTGGCCGGCGCCTGGGCCCCTCTCCCGAGTCACACCACTCCCTCCACTTCTCCACACCGTTGAAGCTTATGGCCTTCTCTGCGGAACAGCGGCAGCTTCTCCTCCCAGCCACAGACCAGAACAGAGGGGCCCGGGAGCTGGCTCCGGCTAACCGAGGCTGCGCAGCCGGAGCCAGGGTGCCTCTCTCCTGGGCTCCAAGTGCCGTTCCACACGCATCGTGAGTAGGAACTAGAAAGCAGAGGGGAAGAAAGAGCAATGTCACGGAGCGTGGCCTGGGCTGCCTGTGAGCACATCCTCCTGACTGCACGGGCCGGGAAGCAAACGCTGAAACCAGTGATGTGGAAATGCCCAGCACATGAGCTGCCTGGCAACTGACCTGGTGCCCAGCTCTCTGCCCAGCCCCTGGTGTCCAGGACACTCTGGCTCCTTCCAGCTTCTACCAAGCGACCCGAGTCATTATGGTCCCTTCCGGCTGGACAATTCCATCCCTTTACAACAATTTCTCGCAACCCCCCACCCCCATCCTTGCACCACTGAACAGACTGAAGGGCGTAGTGCCCACATCCTTGTTGGCCCGGGGAGCCTAAGAATCACAGCCCCTTAAGATGCCGACGGGCTCCAGCCTCTGGGGACTGAAGAGCTGTGACACTGGCAACAACCGCCCAGCTGGTCTGCGCGGTGTGGCTGCTCCGACAGTCCCCTCCCTGCCTTCATGACTCGGCCTCCAGCCCTCTCGCTGGGAAGGACGGCAGATCAGCCCTGCAGCAGCTCAGGGAGCTCACTGCAGCCCCCGCCACGCCCCCAGAGAAAGACCCGCAGTTCTCACAATTGCACTTCTAGCCATAGCCCCTGCCCCGCCTCCCTTCCAAACCCTCCATTTGGCTGCTGCTTCCAACTTCAAGCAGCTGGTGCGGCCATAGGAAAAGTCCCACATGGAGCATAAAAATATGGTCCTTTGAAACCACAACTCAAGAGAAATGATAAGTTTCTTCCAATGTAGCAACAGCCCAAACACTACTGCGGGCCCGTCGCCAGCTAGCCTGAGCACGGCCTGGCACCCTCCGGCCAGCCTCCGGGTCTGGGGTGAGGGAAGGCGCTGTGTGGGGGCTCCCCTCCTGCTCACTGGGAGCGACTGGAGGCGGCCCTGTGGCCCTGTGGCGAGCAGAGGGAAGCAGAGGCCGTTACCCACTTTCAGGGAGACAGTTACTATGAAACCAGCTTAGAAACCAGGAGGAAACCGGGCCCCAGAGGGTGGGCTGGGACAGCGGGAAAAGGTGTCCTGGGGGCTCAGCACCAGGGCTGCGGTCATGGTCATGACGGACGATGCCTCCGCCTGACATGCAGGTGTGTGCAGGGCGACAGGGCAGCTGGAAACACGTGAGCTGGCTCCGGGGGCAAAACCTCCTGTAAAGATGAAATTCGGATAGTACTCCTGACACCAGTTCCTAAACGGAAAGCGCATGACACAGCAAGAGAAATCACGGGTGTCCACCTGGTCACGTCGAATGGGGCACGGCCACCGAGGCCACCGAGGCCACCGGGCACTGACGGCCACAAACGTGTTATCCCCTTGTGCCCAAGGAACAGACCAGAAAAACGAGGGCGGGCAAAAGGGGGCAGAGCCAGGGCAGGAGAGGGAGCCCCTCACCCGCACGTAGACCCTCCGGGTCCTCAGAGCGGCGGGGGGCTCATGAAGAGTCTGGAACCGAGGAAGAGATGGCCCAAGTCCCGGGGCGAGAAGGGTGGGGGGAGGGACGGAGACCTCGGGGTGCACATCCTGCAGGGAGGCGCCGAGCCCGTGTCCGTGGAGCTCGGCGCGAGGGACCCCGGGGCGACTGGTTCCGCCCGGGGCACGTCTGGCGCAAGGGCGAACCAAAAAGGAAACACAAAGTCCAGTCTCCGGCGGCTTCTTCGGGGGAAGGGAGGGGACCTCAGCGGCTCCGGCTCCTGCAGGCGCAGCCCCGGGGCCGAGACCGGGCGCCACGGGCGGGCTCGGGCTGGCAGCGCGGCCCCGGCCCCAGCCCCGCGCGGCGGGAGGCGGAGGCGCTCGGCCCGCGCCCGGGGCGACCCCCGGGAGCGCGGCCCTGCCGAGGGCGCCCCCGGCCCGCCCCCGGCCCGCCCCCCGGCCCGCCCCCACTCACCTGCGGGCGCCCAGCCGCTGTCACCGCCGGAAGTGCTGCCGTCGGCCCTCCGCCGACCCGCCTCCCTCCGCCTCCCCATCACTTCCGGGACGCTCTAGGCACCCTGGAGGACTCGCGTCTCGGTGGCGCCGCAGGAGGCTGTGGGGATGCAGATGGGAAAAAGCGGGGCGCCCAGGTGTGGACCTCCATGGTGTTGTCCCAGGGGAACTGTACGCCTCGATTTGCTCGTCTGTAGCATGGGCGCGGGGTAGCTGGAGTCTCGGGAACCCTGTGCCGATGGAGCTGTGGGCCTCTCAATCCTGGGCAGGGGTCTGGAGGCGGGCGGGCAGGGCCGGCCGCCTGGACCAGGGCGGCCTGTAACGTGGACGTTCCCTGTAAGAGGGAGCACGGAGGGTCAGAGTCAGGGAAGACAATGTGACATCAGGAGCCGAGGGAGAAAAGGTGACCTGAGTGTGCTGACATGTTCATACCCCATAATTGATGATTGGTAAATTATTGTGCTAACTCATTTATAGCTTCATAATTGATGATTGGGAAAGTCACTATGTGCCCTCTAGCTGAACCTGTTTTGTAAAGAATTTAATCAACAGGATAGAGATCAAAATAATCTCAGTAAATTGGAATACTCCCTGAACCAAGAAATTGTTGGGAGCTGGCTACGTGCCTGACAGGGTCCACGGAGCCTGGAGGTCTTGAGTCAGAGACTTGACCTCCCCCACAATCTCAAGGAATTAGGCTTGCATTGTGTTTGTGCAACTCGGGGCTAAGTGTGACCCCATGTACCTTGAAATAACTGAGAGAACAGACTGGGTGTTCCTGGGTGGGCCCTGGTGTTCCTGTTATCCGCAAGGCAAATTAATTCTATACAGCATTGTTGTAGCCCTGAACATTATATGTCATAAAGCATGTTGATCTCATGAGGCTGATCTCCAAAGACTCTGTCACAGGGGTGTTGGGATTCAGACGCCGGCCAGCTAATAAACAGCTCTAATTTGGACTTCAATTCTCTAGCGCCACAACACTGAGGACAGACACTGGTGGCAGTGTGTGCCCTGCAGGTGGAGGAAGGAGCCGCAAGCCACGCAGTGCAGATGCCTCAAGAAGCTGGAAAAGGCCGGGGAACAGATGCTCGCCGGAGCCTGCAGGAGGAGCAGGCCCTGCTGACACCTTGGTTTGAGCTCCATAGACGCGTGTCAGACTTCGACCTCCAGAACTATAGGTTAGTAAACAGTGTTGTTTAGCCCATCATGTGCATGGCCGTTTTGTTACACCAGCAACAGGGAACAGAGACAGGCTTTGATGCCTTCCTCCTCCGTTTCCTCCTCCCTTGGCTCCCAGGACCCTACCCACCTCCATTCCCCGTCCTCCGTCCCTTCCTCCTCCGTTTCCTCCTCCCTTGGCTCCCAGGACCCTACCCACCTCCATTCCCCATCCTCCGTCCCTTCCTCCTCCGTTTCCTCCTCCCTTGGCTCCCAGGACCCTACCCACCTCCATTCCCCATCCTCCGTCCTCACTCTCTCCTGCCCATTTCTAACTAGCCAGGTTCACTCCATGATTCTGTCTGTCTACACCCACGCCCTGGGCGAGCTCCTCCATTGTCATTGCTCTACATCTCCCGCCAGGACCCTCCCGCAAACTCTGCCTCCTAGGTTTTACCACATCCGCACCAGCTTTGTAACGGGCACCTCAAACAGTACTCCTAAACCGAGGTCCCAGCCTCACTGAGTGGCACGACGTTTCACTGACCGTGTGAGGCATGTGAGCTTATGGGACTGTGGCCTGGAGTGAGATGTTTAGAAAGTTTCAGTGAGCACTGTGGTCAAGGAAGGTGCCCTGGAGGAGGGGCCACACTCACCTCCATGTGACCTTGAGCAAGATCCTGGCCCTCTCTGAGTCCTAGGCTCCTCACATGCATAGAGGAGCCAATCTCCACCAGAAAGAGCCTAACCTGGTGCGTGGTAGGTGGCTGGGCAGAGGAGACCTCAGAGGTGCTGGGAGTCCCAGCGGTCTGGGTCTCAGGTCACCCCAATTCATACCGCCAGCCCACACCTCCATGCCATCTTTATCCAGGGCTCAAGGTGAGAAGGTGGGAGCTGCCCCTGCTTCTCAGTCTCCCCTCACTGCCCAGGTGAGCAGCCCTGGGGTTCTCCCCCTCACCGTCCTGGGGCACTGCCTGGCTCCTGGACAGGTAGACAGATGGATGTACAGTCAGCCTGCAGGGTGGTGGGAGGCACAGGGCACAAAGCTGCAAGGTAAGAAGTGCCACAGAGGGAAGATAGGAAGAATGAAAAAGGTCAGTGCTGGAGGAGACCTCTGGGGCTCTGTCCCCAGAGGACTGAGATCCTGCTCTGTAGGGATGGGGGGTTGGTAGATGGACGGTTTGTAACCTTGTGATATGCATCCTCACAACCTGGCCAGCCTAGGATCAAAGTGTGTGTGTGGCCCTGGCCAGCTTTGCTCAGCGGTTAGAGCGTCGGCCTGTGGTCCAGAGAGACCTGGGTTCAGTTCCTGCTAAGGGCATGTACCTCAGTTGCAGTTTGTCCCTGGCCCTGGTTGGGTCGTGTGGGTGGCAGGCACTCGATGTGTCCCTTTCACATCAATGTTTCTCTCTCTCTCTCTCCCTCCCACTCTATCCAAACAAAAAATGGAAAAAATGTCTTCAGGTGAGGATTAAAAAAAAAAAGCTTGGCCGCATATGAATGCTTTGTTTGCATGTGTATAAGATAAGGTTTGCAGGAGTTGTGGGAGACAGAGGTTTGACTGGAAGGCAGTAAAACCACCTTGGCCGCATATGGGTGCTTTGTTTGCATGTGCAAAGGTTGGAACACCTAGAGTGGAAAATGAGTTGTAGGACCCAAGAATGTCTGGGTTTGTTATTTTTTAGCTTTAAAGTATTGTTTCTGCCGTAAAAAGCGAGAGACAAGGCTAGGCTGTATGGTTTGCAGAGACGCTATCTAAAGGAAATAATTTACATAAATTCTCATGTAACTTGGGAAACCATTCTGCAAATAAATTGGGCTGCATCCAGAGGTCTGGAGCATTTGCTCCCTTGCTATGCTCCCCCTCACTCCTACCAGTGTGTGCTTGCAGTTCATTGTGTTGCGCCGACCCCAGCACTGCTCCCAATGCCTAGCCCTGGCTTCTGCTTTGGGCAGTGGGGCCCCGTGGAGATGGTATGGCCTGTGCTGCGCCAGTCTGGACTCTAGGCCGGGCTATGTCTTTCCTGGCCCAGGGTCCCAGGGTGGTGACTAACCCACTCAGAGCCTCAGCTTGTCTTCTGGAAAACGGAGATCATGACAGTGGCCACCAAGGCTGCCAGGGGTTGGTCGGGGTGTGATGACTGAGCTCAGGGCTGGCCAACTGCACAGTGAGGCTGCTTCAGAAAGGGCGAGGGAGGCTAAGAACTCTGCAGCCTCAGCACTGGCCCGGTGTGGGCTGGACTACAGCCCGGCTGCTGCTGGGTGCGATCTCAGAGCTACCCGACTGCACCCAGGAGCTCCAACTCCAGGATTCCAGTGCAGATTTGGGGAGACGCCCCCCTCCCAGGTCACTGGCAAACTCTGATTCGAGAGCCCTGGGGGCCAGCTGGAAGAGTTGGCCTGACTCTCTGCGCTTTCCCTCCCCAGCCTTGCAGAGAAGAGGGACAGGCACCCAAGGGTGTGCCACTGTCAGCTGGACTAAGTCCCAAGTGCAAGGCGCCTCTGAATCCATTGTTGACTCATTTACCTTCACCGCCTCCCTCCTCCGCCCCGACATTATTTGCTCCCGTTTTTTTAAGGGGCAAAGGGTGGAAGTGCTGGGGAATAAGCCTGGGACCATCAGGACCCTTAGCGTGCAGGGTGAATGTGGGTGGGGAGGGGTAGGGAGGCTACAGGCTGGGACTGGAAAAGTGCTCGGGTCAGACTGTGAGGCGGCCCACATCCACCGCTTAGGCTGTAGGGGTGTCGCCTCGCCTCGCAGAAGTGGAGGTTCTGGAGCAGAGGAGGGTCCGCTTCCCGTAGAGTCTCCAACTAGTGCCCCTGGGGACTGGCCGTGTCCGTTTCTCTTGCAGAGTCACGCAGCCTGGGCCGAATAAGTGCTGGGCTCTTGGACTGCTCCGGACAGGGGCCGAGGCTCGGGGGCCAGTCGGAGTCTTCAAGGCCAGGAGAGACGCCAAGGGCTTGCGCTCCTGGCAGGGTGTAGACTCTGCGGTAGACTCCGGGCGCTCTTGTGCCTGCAACGCGGAGCGCGGCCTCCAGATGCCGCTGTGGCGCCCCGCGCGGCCCTGTGCCCCGCCCGCCCGGGGAAAGCGATCGCGGCGCCGGCGGCGAGGAGGGACGGACCACTGAGGGCAGGGGGTGCCCGCCGCAGCGGGGCGGGGCTCCGGACGACAGCGCCGGCGGCGTCCGGCGCGTCCTCCCCTCAGCCGGCGTCGTGACGTGGTTCCCTCCGGCAGCGCGGCGCCCGTCGGTTCCGGGGCTGGCGGGCTCCAGCGGCTCCGCAGCGCGCAGCGGCGGACACTGGTGCCGCGGGCGGCGGCGCGATGCTGGGGCTGCTCGTGCCTGTGCTGGCCTTGGCGCTCGCCTACTTCGCGCTGCTGGACGGATGGTACCTGGTGCGCGTGCCGTGCGCCGTGCTGCGTGCGCGCCTGCTGGAGCCGCGCGTCCGCGACCTGCTGGCCGAGCAGCGCTACGGGGGCTGCGTGCTGCCCTCGGACCTGGACCTCCTGCTGCACATGAACAACGCGCGCTACCTGCGCGAGGCCGATGTGGCGCGCGCCGCGCACCTGGCCCGCTGCGGCGTGCTGGAGGCGCTGCGCGCCCTGGGGGCGCGCGCCGTGCTGGCCGCGTCGTGCGCGCGCTACCGCCGCTCGCTGCGCCTGCTCGAACCCTTCGAGGTGCGCACCCGCCTGCTGGGCTGGGACGACCGCGCCTTCTACGTGGAGGCGCGCTTCATCAGCCTGCGCGACGGCTTCGTGTGCGCGCTGCTGCGCTTCCGCCAGCACGTGCAGGGCACCTCGCCGGAGCGCGTCGTGCAGCACCTGTGCAAGCGCAAGGTGAGACCCCCTCCCGTGCACGACCCCGCGGGGCCCTGAGGCTCCCGGCCCTCCCCCTCCCCTGGTGAAGGCCCAGGCCCCCAGGTGCCCCTCTGCCTTGCTGTGTGCCGGTCCAGCCCTTTCCATTGGGCCCGGCGTTTCCTTCACTGATGCTGTTCTTCCTGGGGACTCCCAGGGCCCCCGAGTCAACTCTTCATCCTGGACTGGATTTGCGCCCCTCCTGCCACTTCTTAATCTGGCCCCTCAAGACTCCATGCCCATTGGCCACCTTTTCCAGAGCAGGGAATCCTAGACCAGGCCTCTCCCAGTAGGCTGTGTTGTGTCTTGGAGGGTGTACCACCCTCCCTGATCCTTGGTTCTGAACGTAGTGTGGGGGGGCGCGGGGGGTCAGTGAGAGGAAGTTGCGGGGAGTTCTCTAGAACCTGAGACACCACCTTCACACAGCTTAGAGTGGAGAGGATGGGTCAGTGTCACCTGGATTCGGCCTTGGGGGATTGACCCCTGGAGAGCTGCAGGCCTTTCTGCTTTTTCCAGTTGGAGAGAAGCTACTGTGCTGCCTGGTGCCAAGACACCTCCCCAGGGCCAGCCCCTCCCAGCACAGCACAGCCAGTGGCTACCGCAGCCTGGCAGCTGGACCCTGGGGACAGCCAGGGCGCGTCTGCAGTGATGTTTGCAAGAGCAGACTCCTGCTGCAGGCGAGTCCTGTGCACTCCCCTGGAGCTTCCATGACCAGGGGCCTGCTCCGACCCGGGCTGTCCTCAGGCAGGGTGCTAGCCTCACCTTGATTGTGAGAGGTCAGCTCTTCTCCATGTCAGAGATGGGGACACAGGCTCAGAGAGGGATGGGGACTGCCGGAGGGTGCACAGGGGGCCACAGGCACAGCTCCCTGGTTTTCTGTTTCTGTCAAGCCAGGAACACAACCAAAGAGCCTGGATCTCCCCCCATCTCTGTAGGGACAGAAGTGCTCTGTGTGTCCCTTCATGTGTCAGGGGGCCGGGAGGGGTGGCCAGCATGGGCAGTGGCTTGTCGTCAGGGCTGGAAGTTGACGGGCTGAGAGCTGTGACCAGAAGGCCAGAGGAGATGGGAGTCAAGGCAGCCCTTCCTGCACGGGAGGCCATGGTGCCGTCGGGTGTGGGCTGGAGGGTCACTGATGGGTGAGGTCCACATGAGAGGTGAGTGAGCTGATAACACCGCATGACTGGGACACGCGAGGGCACTCAGCCCGGGACAGGAGGGCCAAGGGATGGACAGGAGGGCCAAGGGATGGCCAGGAGTTGCCCAGTTTCCTGCCTGAGCTCTGGGAGTCCCAGGTGGAGGGTCTCAGGGTTAGTGTGGGGCAGGCGGAGCCCACGGCCCAGGGGTCCTGTGTGCTGAAAGGCTGGCATGGGGTGGTGTGGCCTTGGGGTGCAGCTGGGCTGGGAGGAGAGTGCTCCCGAGAGCCAAGCCTGGACCTAGAGCCGAGCCCGAGCCCGAGCCCAGACTTGTGCTGTGACAAGGCAGCTCCCGTGTCTTCAGGGAAGGCTGGGTTCCAGCTCTGAGCACCTCTACGTGGCCTGGAAGCACTGAGATGGGTGGGCATTTACATGGGTGGGTGGCCTCCCTGTACCCCTGCTTGTTCTATGCCCTTGGAGGGCTCATGGGAGCCTCACTGTCCTCTCCCCCTGCAGGTGGAGCCCCCTGAGCTGCCTGAAGACCTGCAGCACTGGATTGCCTACAACGAGGCCAGCAGCCAGCTGCTCCGGGCCGAGAGTGGGCTCAGCGATGTTGCCAAAGACCAGTGACCACCACTCGCTGCCCACCAGCCTCTACCTGGCACAGTTGCCCACCTGTCCCTGCCTGCCGGGGGCAGAGTGCAGAATGGGCTAGCCAGGCTGGGCTCTCTTTCCGATCAACCCAGCCCCCTTCTCCCGCTCGGCCTTTCTCCCTCCCCCATTGTTGATGCCCCTCTGTGACCTTCCACACACTGAGCCTGGGATGGGGTGACACAGGCGCCCAGACCTGTCTCTGCCCTCAGGGTGGAGACAGTGGGTGAAGTGGGAAGTCCAAGGCCCTTGGCATTCAGACTGTTGGGGAGGTGTGCGGGGAGCCAGGCCTCCATGGGCCCACGTCCAGAGGCCACTCGGAGCCAGAGGCCATCTGGAGCTGCACTGAATACCAGAGCCCGCCGTCAGAGCTGGGTCAGGGTGGCAGGGTCACGGCTGATTCGGGCACAACGAGGCGCTGCCAGCAGCTCAGGGCAGGTCCTTCTGGCTGCAGGTGACAGAGGGACAGGCCAGAGGCAAGGCGGACTGGCCGGAGGGTGCTTAGGAGGGAGGCCCGGCCACCGGGGATACCCCGGGGTAAGGACAGGACCTGTAGCCGGGGTCAGATGGTATGGGGGCTCCTGTGGAGATGGTTAGTTTCCTGTCGCTGAGGGGTGTCCTGGTCGGGACCTGCTGCCCAGGAGGAATGGAGCAGGGAGTGGGGTTCTGCCTGGTCGCTGTCTGCACCCCACCCTTGCCTATCTGCATTCTTCAGTGCCCAGAGGTGTGTGCTGTGTGACCATGGATGAGGCTCTGCCCTCTCTGGCCCTCCCACTGGGCTGTCCTTGCGCCATATCCTGTCTTGCTGCCCACTTTTTCCTTCTTACTGAGGGGCTGCCTCTCTGGATGGGCAGGGCGGGGGCCGGCTCTTCTCGGCTTTGTTCCAGTGGCCTGTCCTGGTGGCTGCTCTCGGGGCCCCCTGACGGTCACCAGCCTGCTGGGATGCTGGCCAGAGCCACCTGCTCCAGCCTCACGCCTGGCCTGTCAGCTGGGGAAAGGGAGGCCTGGAGAGAGGCAGGAACTGGCCGAGATCGATGAGCAAGGAAGCCCCAGCCCAGGCTCTGCGAGATGGCTCGGCTCCCCGGCTGGCTGGGGACATTGTGGTCAGGCCCTCGGGCGTGTGACAGCTGCTACCTGTGTGCGTGGCCTCCTGCGTGTTTGTGGCCCGTTTGCCCGTGGAGCAGCGAGAGCCCAGAACGGCCTCCTGCTGCCCCGACCAGGGGGCCCGCCGCCACCTAGCCCCTCGCCTGCCCCCGCGCTGCCTGGCAGCCGCCACGGGAGAGCTGCAGTGTCTGTTCCGTTCAAAGAACGCCCAGGATTAAAGGGCTCCCGATGTCAGTGTGTGGGCGCGTCCTCATTGCGAAGCTCTGACCCCCAGAGAAACGGGGTTGCGTCCTGGTGTGGGGGCTATCCACGCTGGGCTCCGTGAACCGAGGGCCCCAGCTGGCAGGGCAGGGTTGTCCTCATTCCTCAGGATAGGGGACCGAGGCTGGAAAGGACCTGCCCCAACCCCGTCCAGCCCCTGGTCTTCCCATCCTCGGCCCCGGACGAGCCCTGCGCCCTGTTTCAGGCCTGCTCTTAGGTGTCAGTTTGTTCCCAAGGTCAAGTCCCATGATCCTCCAGGGGGCTTGGGCGGTTGTACCCCAGACTCGGGGGGCATGCCCCAGGCCCCTGGTGGGAATAGGAGAGTTTCAGTGAACAGAAGGGCTGTTCTGCAGGCCCCTTGAAGGGGGCAGAGGGGTGCCACCCCCAGGACATGAAGCGGTTGAGCAGTGCAGATGGGCCGTGTCGGGCGCTCGCCACCCGCCCAGGAGGACCTGGCTGCGGCCTCGGGCAGACCGGGCAGCGGGGGACACTTGGCTTTGCCACGTGCATTCACAATGGGGAGGTGGGGCTGGAGTGGGCCTGGCCCAGGTTGTATGGGCCTGGGCAGAAGTGTCCCGGACCGTGTGGGCTGGGGCAAGTTGTATGGGACTAAGGGGGGGGGTGCAAGGAAACCGAAGGGGTGCCCAAGCGGAAGCTGCAGGTGTGTGTGTGTGGTCTCAACCCAGACACAGGCTCAGGCAGCCCTCCAGGGACAAGGCCTGTTGAGCAAGTACTGGGGAGGTGGCCCGGAGGGTGTGGTGCTGGCCCAAGTCCAAGGTGAAGTGAAGGTCCCTCCGCACTGGAGCTTGGGTTTCCCTAGACACTCGCATTGGGGCCCAGGTGGGCTTTCTGGGGTGAGCCTGGAGAAGGCTGGTGGTAGACGCTTGGGGACCACCCCCACCGCCTCGTCTCAGCACCCTCTGTTGCGACGCGGGGGCCGAGTCATCACAGGCCTGGCGAGGGGGAGCCATCCCGGGTCCTGGGCCACTGCAGGCCTGGCCCTTCCTTCCGCCTGGCCTGGTGGGCCCCCCACCCAACCAGTCTCTGTCCTTTCGGGCACTGCCCTGATGCCCCTCCTTCGAGCAGCCATCCCTGCCCTGGTTCTGGGGGTGCGGTGCTCCCCCTGCACGTGAGGCCCCATTTCCAGCCCAGTCAGGCCTCAGTGCTCCTGAGCCCACGAGCAGAGTCCTGCCTGGTCTGTGGACATGTCCCAGGCTCAGTGACCATCCCTGCTTCCACGGGGACAGTGATGTAGGTGAGGAGACGGCTGCAGAGCCTGGGAGGCTGGGCAGAGGCAGACGGGGAGATGGAGGGGCTGGGGAGAGCGCAGAGGGGAACAAGTGCCCAAGGTGGTAGTGCCAGGGATGAGGTGGGGACCCTCGCCGTCCCAGTGGGCAGTCCAAGCCCAGGAAAGAAACCCAGGAGACCCAAGGCAGGTGGGTGAGCTTCTTCAAAGGCATTTGGGGCTGGGAGGGAGGTGACCATGAGGGTGAGGGCCAGGCCACGGGCTGCCCAGGGCGGGTGCCCCGTCCACGTTGCACAGCTCAGTGTTGCAGCATGACATGGGCCGTGTCAGGCTGATGCCGTCCACGTCTGAGGGCACGCACTTGCTGGCGCAGGACTTGGTCACCGTGGCGTCCCCCAGGGAGGGGTACACTGTGGACATGGAACACCAGCATGAGGATGGCTCCTGTGCCGCATGCAGGACCCCCTGTGGGGTCACCACCCCATCTCATCCCCTCTGTGACCCAGCCCCCTGTCCGCCGAGCCCGCTAAGTGCCAGGGCCCAGGCTGACGGCCGGAGGTAGCGCTGGCCCTGGGGCTGCAGCCCTGCCCGCCGAGCACACTGACCGGTCTCCAGGGAGGAGAGTGTGGTTTGCACATGGTTTTGTTGGCACTGCAGGTGGCGATGGAGACACAGCTGGACATCCCTGTGGGCTGCTGACAGGCGAAGCATTGCAGGGCCACTGCTGGGCGGGAGGTGACAAGGACCCAGTCAGGCCGGCCCTGCTCCTCCCAAGCCCTGTTCTGGAGGCCAGGTTTGAGGGAGACAATGTCACCAGGCCCAGTGGCCCACTGGACAAAACTGGAAGTCCTGAGGCAGTGTGTGCCCCTGGGGCAGAGGGGCTCCCAAGGTGGGGATGAATCAGGTGACTTTGGAAGTGTTGGGGGGCACGTGTCTGCAGGGGCCATCCTCAGGCAGGGACCTGGGAGGACCCAGGCAGTGGGTGCGGGCCGGGCTGCTCCTCTTCCCTGCTGCAGGGCCCCACCCTACATGGGAGCCCAGCGGCTCCCACCTGCCCACGCAACCCCGACACAGTGAGGTCACCCGCGGCTCCTCCCCCACTGGGTGCCGCTGTGTCCATCTGGCTGACCTGTTTCCCTCTGGGAAATGAGCGGAATCCTGTCATCTGGCCAGGACCCAGAGCCTCGTAGGGTTGGGTGGGGGGCCCCCCAGGGGCTGGCATGTCTCCTTAGATGTTTTCTCAGACGCTCACCCCTCCATATGTCTGTGTCTGCGCCCCTGGGGCCCGTGAAGGGCAATCCCCAGCTGGCACCCAGGGCCTCTGCCGTGACCCCAGCCCTGAGGGCAGCCTCTCACTGCACACCCCGCCTCACCCCCAAGTGCCCCGTGCTGTCCCACCCGCTCCATCTTTTCTCTCCGGGAACCAGTAGACCACCTCCACTCGGCCTCTCTGCTTTCTTTTTAATCCTCACCAGAGGACGTGCTTAAAGAGAAGATGGGAGAGAGAAACATCCATCGGTCGCCTTTCCATTGCGCCCAACTGGGGACCAGACCCAAAACCCAGGCATGTGCCCTGACTGGGAATCGAACTGGCAACCGTTCAGTGCACAGGACAGCGCTCAACCAACTGAGCCCCTCCTGCCGGACGCCCCCTGTCCCGCAGGCTGCCCCTCACTGTTGTAGCTCACTGTCCTTAGAATCCAACTTGTCTTTAAGCTGCCCTAATTAACAACCTCAGAGACAGCAAGACGAACAATGGGGAATGTTATAGAGGGCTTTAGCCCCATAAAAATTAACTAGAGTTTGACCTTCACTGGGAATTTGAAAAGCAACATCCTTCAAGAAAAGGGAGGACAGAAACGGCCCCAAGGCCAGAGTGTCCTGCATGCTCTGTAAAGAAACTGATAGGGAGAAACTGAAGCTCCCTTTACCCCATAAAACTGTAACTGTTTAACGTGTGTATTGCACCTGACTGACCGCTGATATCTGTCTCGAATTTGTTAGTTTTTAAAACTTGGATAATGGAATGAATAGCAGGACAGATGTATGCTGACCCAGTTCACCCAGTTCCCTTTTGCCTCAGCTCCCTCCCACCTCTGTTCCCTCCTGCTTATCGCTAACTGCCTCCGCTTCTGTACACGCAGCTTGCTTGCTCTGCTAAACTCTTGAATGACCCCTGCCCTATATAAGCAACCCTCCCCCTGAGCTCGGGGCTGCAGTTCTCCTCTGTGTAGGTTGGCTGCAGTCCCTGCGCAGGTAATAAAACATCCCCAAAAACTGAAAAATGGAGTCTGAGTGTGGTCGATCTCCTGGGTTACAACATTTGGAGGCCCCAGCGAGATCAGCCGCGAGGTCCCCTTTTTCCGTGGGGTCGACCTCCTCAGACTACGCGGAGGGCTGCCTCCTCGCCCTCCGCACCTACATTCGTTCTGGCTTTGATTCGGCTAATTCGGACTAAGACTTCAGCCTCGAGGATCTGGGTAAGGGATTTCCCCTTCCATCTGTTTTCTGTTCGGTAGCTCCGGAGCGTTCTGGGATTGTTGCGGGCGGGACGCCGCTGAACCGCACTTCCCCCTCAGGGTCGGGACGCCGACTCCTGACCTGGGAAACCGGTGGGTTTCCATCTGTTCTGAAATTGGTACCAATCTGTTTTAATCTGGCACTTTCGGGTGCATCTGGCACTTTCGGGTGCATCTGGCACTTTCGGGTGCATCTGGCACTTTCGGGTGCAGGAAACCCGGTGGGTTTCCATCTGGCACTTTCGGGTGCATCTGGCACTTTCGAGTGCATCTGGCACTTTCGGGTGCATCTGGCACTTTCGAGTGCATCTGGCACTTTCGGGTGCATCTGGCACTTTCGGGTGCAGGAAACCCGGTGGGTTTCCATCTGGCACTTTCGGGTGCATCTGGCACTTTCGGGTGCATCTGGCACTTTCGGGTGCATCTGGCACTTTCGGGTGCAGGGAACCCGGTGGGTTTCCATCTGGCACTTTCGGGTGCATCTGGCACTTTCCGGGTGCAGGAAACCTGGTGGGTTTCCCATCTGGCACTTCGGGTGTGTTGTTCTGAAATTAGTATTTGTGTTTTGACCGCGGTTGTCTGTCTATTTGTGTTCCGTGTTCTCTGCTGCTCTAACTGTTTTGCTTTCGGCAGGATGAGACAAGGACCGTCAATGCCCCGTACCCCCCTTGAATGCATTCTTGCTAACTTTTCTGACTTTTCCAGGAGATCCCAAGGCTACAGAACACCAGCCGATCCTAGGGTCCTCCGGACCTTCTGTGAGTTGGAGTGGCCAACATTCCGAGTTAATTAGCCATCCGAAGGGTCTTTTGACTTGAATCTTTTGTTTGCTGTGAGGTCCGTATGTACGGGGTTCCTACCCTGATCAAAGGTATACATAATATTTGGATTAGAAATGTCAGTGTCCGGAGGTTCAATGAAAGGAAAAAAGTTTGTAACAATGCCTCCGCCTGTCCTGAAGGACAGTTAACCTCCTCCCAGCCCCCGAGGAAATTCTATCCCATCCTTCAGGACCCCCTTGAGGTATACAAAAATGTCAATTAAACTGAGTTTGCCTACTTTGGGTTCTTATTACAGAAAAGCTATAAGATGAATTTAGATCTATTAATGATCTATTGATTAAAAAATGTCTATTGAAAATATGAATATATTTGCTAATCAGAGGAATGTTAATTACTTGTACTTGTCAAAAAAAGAAAAAATATTCAACGTTTCTAAAAGTTAAAAGTTCAGATTAGGTTAAAAAGAAATTATATAATTTTAATAAAGGAAAATATAAGATATATAAATATATATATTTTTAAAATTGTTCTAAAACTGGTTATTTCAGACTAGATAAAAAGGTTTATGAAAGTTAAAAGATTTGTTAAGAGAAATCTTAGAAAGAAATTATAAATAAAATAAATTAATATAGAATTTATTTGGTTCTTTTTCAGCCTGTTAAAAGGGGAAAAACATTTTTTTTTCCCAATATTTGCCTGGAAAGCAAAAGTTATATATATGTTATTGAAATGGTTTTATGTTATGTTAATCAAGTACTTGATTCCTTAAAGAGCCATTTTTTAAATCATAAGAACTGAAGTTTCACTGACCTATGTTTATGTTTAACATTTGTCATTGTCACTTTAAATAAATAAATAATTGAATACTATTTAATTATAATAATAATACTATATAATCTTTTGGTCAAATATGTTTGACAACATTTCCAGGATTCGAATTTTAAGAAACTTTTTCTTGACCTGGAATTAGTTTTGAGTCATTCCAATAAGACCTGGAATTCCTCAAAGATTTATGTTCTCTGCTTATAAAAGGAAATCAAATCAATGCAGATAGCTTAACACAGTCTGTTTCCTCACTGAAATATAGATAAGAGGACAATACACTCCAAATGCAAGAGCATATACACTACTAAGAGTGATTATTTGTTCACTTAGCAGATGCACAGATGCCTCTTATACGGGGGTCTCTACTAATGCTGTGGGTTATGCGAACAGTCCTCACTTTAAAGGGGCTTATAATATATTTTGTAAAGTCATGCTTGAATTATTTAAAGAAAGAGCATAATTGAGCCCCAGAGGCCTAAAGATCAGGCTCTTTTTAGTTTAACTAAAAAAGTTTTTTCTTTCATGGTACGATAATGTACTCACATATAAATAAATAAATAAATCTGAGCTATAGTTACTATAGCATGAATAAAATAATATCTCTAATGTACTTGGGTCTCCATCTGAGAAGGGCTTTATGAAAAGAAAATTATAAAAATTGACATAAAGGAATAAAAAAGGATGATAATTCTTTGCCGCTTTCCCCTGCCTTGTCGGCAGGGCAGGCTTCTCTCAGAGCCTCAGTTGCTGTGTCCCCTGTGTATAGGGGGACCCAATGTCTGAATAGATATAGATGTGTTCAGATGTACTAGCTTCTTTATGATGAGGTCTCAATGCCTCTCTGCAAGGCTTAATAATATTCTCACAGGCAAACTGTTTAACCATTGAAATGCCAGCCCGGGCTGCTCGTCCACAGCGGGTTTGACAGCAACTAGTTTCCAACAGGCTTCTCTGAACTTTAGGGATCCCAGGCATGGATACAAAATTCTCTTAGAGAGTTAAAAAAACAAAAAACAAAAAAACCACTCTGCCCCGTGTAAACAATGTTAAGACATTGCTCCCCTTTCCTATGTCTTTTTGTAAACCTGGGTTCAGAGGAAATGTTCCCATTCCTCTGCCCACGGTAGGACCCAAATATTGTCGGGGGAAGGGCTTCCTTAGAACACTTTTCACCGTGTTTCCCTGTTAGGCCTATTGGCCCAATTGGCTGAATTAGCAAAGGTAGTAATAGCAGCCTTAAGAGAAACAGGGCACATAGAATAGGGTCACCCTAGGAAGGGAAATATAAGGAAGGGTCAGGACCACAGGCCTAGGTCCCAGTTAGGAATAGAAAAGACAAAGACAAAGTCAGGTATAGAAAAACAAAATAAAATGCTGTACTTAATTTAGGAAAATGACAGGGCCAGGGCTCCTTCCAACTGAGCCCTCTGAAACCCAGAATAATACTAAATAATAGGGGATAAACTAGTTAGTTTCCTAATAGACACTGGTGCAGCAGACTCAGTCTTGACCGAGCCAATGGGGCCCTATCTTACCCCTGGACTTCAAAGAGGAATATAGACCTTGGGGAAAATACTGTAACTCATTTGTTTCTGTTCCTGCCAGAGTGCCCATACCCCCTACTCGGACGTGATCTCCTCCAGAGATCATTTAATTGCTGGCCACTGCCACTCCAAGCCAGACCCCGCATCAAGTTCCACAAGACGTTGGCCTTCAATCCTGCCAGCCTGCCTCCAGATGATGACCCGGAGTAACCTCTGCAGGACAGCCTGGAGGCAATCGACACTGCAGTCGGCCGCCCAGACCTCAGGGATGACCCACTGCCATCATCAGATGAGGTATTGCTCATAGACGGGAGCAACTATGTCCAGGAAGATATCAGGTATGCCGGGGCAGCAATAGTAACTCTGGACCATGTCATTAAGTAGGGGAACTTCAGCCCGATGGACTGAACTCATAGCCCTAATCCAGGCTCTCTGGTGAGACAAGGGGAAACCATACTGCAAATAAGGAAGATCAACATATGGCCCTAAAACCAGTGGGGACCTCTCCAGATATCAGTTACCACACCAAACCCAAGTTCACCTCTGACTCCTACTTACACTGGGTCAGAAAATGACTTAACTGAGCAGAAACAAGTCATAAAGAAAAACAACAACTAATAGACACTGCCTGCTGGGAGATTGTTGGTCCCAGAGGCTCTAGGTCGGACTTTAGTCAACCAGCTGCACCAGCCTACCCTCTTAGGTTACACCAAGCTTACTAAACTCCAATAAGGTCACAGGGAAAAGGAAAAGAAAAAGGCTAGGGGATATGCAGACAGTAGATAGATTGAGCAACCTCTCAGGTTCATGTCAGGGGAGGGACTAGAAAAGTCACAGAGAGTCTATGTAAGTTGAAGAAGGATTATGCAGAAAAAATAAAAAGATAGGAAGAAGATAAGACACTGAGAGGGGAGAACTTGCCCCTACTAATATTATAATAGTCTAGGATGCAATAAAGGGAGTAACAGGTTTAGGCTACTCCTGACCCTTAGATCAGAAATGACCCCGCCTTGATAGCAAAGATATCACAGGATATCTCTAAGGGATTAAATATAAATTAGAAGCTCCATTGTGCTTACTGCCCACAGAGTTCCAGGCAGGTAGAGCGCATGAACAGGACCTTAAAGGAAACCTTAACCAAATTTACTTTGGAAACCGGTGAAAACTGGACCACTCTGCTCCCCTCGCCCTCTTACAGTTCTTACAGGCCCTGCAGTCTGCCCAGAAGGCCATCCATAAACACATCTGCGATGCCCTGCCTCTGCCCACCTCAGACTCTGTGCACCCTTTCCAGCCAGGGACTCGATGCAAATAAAGAAATTCACCATCCAAGGACTAACTCTGGCCTGGAAGGGACCACACACTGTCATCCTGCCCTCACCAACGGCTGTCAAGGTCAACGGCATCCCGGTCTAGCTGCATCATTCCTGGTTGAAGGCAGGAAAAGCAGAATGAACGGTGCAGACCTCTACAGATCCCTTAAAATGAGACTCTTACGTTTATCGGGACTCTAATTTTTCTAATTATAACTGTACAGGGGAATCTTTACAGATCTAGACCCCAGTAGAACTGGGTACTTAGAAATAAAACATTTTTAAAAAATCTTAAGAAATGTCAACCAGAAGAGGGTCTATATGCAGCCTTAGGTGAAACCTGCTATTTCTATGCCAACCATTCAGGTATAATCAGACAGAGCATCCAAATTCTAAGACAAAGAAACTAAGAGAAGGAGAACAGGTCTCCCATAATTAATATGAAAACTTATTTAGTCACCATAGCTAACATCCCTGATTTCAGCTATAGCAGGGCCCTACTGTTATTATTAATCGGAATAACTTGTAAACCCATCCAAATTTAATAGACTCCTAGCCTTCATCAGAGAGAGAGTCTAATCAGTAAAACTTAGGGTCTTAGCACAATCCAACTAGAGATTGTCTCCCCATGACAATTGTGGATCAATGGTTTGATCCACTATCAAGAAAAAGGGGGGAATGTTGTAGCTCACTGTCCTTAGAATCCAACTAGTCTTTAAGCTGCCCTAATTAACAACCTCAGAGACAGCAAGACGAACAATGGGGAATGTTATAGAGGGCTTTAGCCCCATAAAAATTAACTAGAGTTTGACCTTCACTGGGAATTTGAAAAGCAACATCCTTCAAGAAAAGGGAGGACAGAAACGGCCCCAAGGCCAGAGTGTCCTGCATGCTCTGTAAAGAAACTGATAGGGAGAAACTGAAGCTCCCTTTACCCCATAAAACTGTAACTGTTCAACATGTGTGTATTGCACCTGACTGACCGCTGATATCTGTCTCGAATTTGTTAGTTTTTAAAACTTGGATAATGGAATGAATAGCAGGACAGATGTGTGCTGACCCAGTTCACCCAGTTCCCTTTCGCCTCAGCTCCCTCCCCACTCCGTTCCCTCCTGCTTATCGCTAACTGCCTGCGCTTCTGTACAAGCAGCTTGCTTGCTCTGCTAAACTCTTGAATGACCCCTGCCCTATATAAGCAACCCTCCCCCTGAGCTCGGGGCTGCAGTTCTCCTCTGTGTAGGTTGGCTGCAGTCCCTGCGCAGGTAATAAAACATCCCCAAAAACTGAAAAATGGAGTCTGAGTGTGGTCGATCTCCTGGGTTACAACATCACACCATCCCTGGCCACTCACTGAGCTGGCCGCAGGAAGTCGGCAGTGCCCACCGCGCTGGCCATTTGCCCGGCATGGTCCTGTGCCCGCACTGCGCTCACTCGCTCGCTCGGCCGGCCTGCCCCGCAGCGAGACGGACGCCCAGGGCAGCCACAGACCAACCCGTCGGCCGAGCAGAGATCAGCCTGATCTGGTTTCCAGTGGGTGGCAGAGGTGTGGGGAGCCGCCTCTCCGCTCCCTGGGCTCCTCCACCTCCACCAGGACGTCCCATTCCTCTGTGGGGACCTCTCTGCCCTTTCCGCGTCACCTCCACCCCTGGTGACGCCCATCTTGATTTTGGGGAGCCCTCATTTCCTCGCAACTCCGCCTGAGTCCTTGCCATCCCCCTCCTCCCTCCACCTGGGACACCCCCATGCCTGGAAGGCCCCCCGGGCTACCTGGGACAGCGGCCACAGGTGGGGCTCCCACTTCTATCTTCAGGGCAGATTCCTGGTCTGGAGGCTCTGGGTCCAAGTTCCCCCAGATGCCAGGACCCCCACTCCCAGCTCTTCCACGGTGGCCACGGGGTTGGGGGGTTTGTAGTGATGGGGGCATGTTGCTGCCTAGACAACCGACAGGCTCAGAGGCTTACGGTGACAGAGAAAGGTGCTGGGTCAACAGAGAGGTCCCAGACAAAGGGCGAGGGTGGAGAGGGCCAGGGTCCCCTCGGCGTGCGAATCCCGCATCCACCTTGATCTCCAAGGAGGCGTCCCCTCAGGTGGGGCTCACCTGGCCCCATTTCTGGATGGGAAATGATGGAAGTCCCTGGGCCAAGGATCGGAAAGGAGAGGGTGAATTTGGGTCTGATGATCCAAGTGTGGCCCCAGCCACTGCTCACACACATACACACACACACACACACACACACACACACACCTAGAGTGCCTACCCTTCAGCCTCCCCAGGGTGAGCCAGCCTGTGGCCCTGTCACCAACCCTACAGATGCCAGAGGCACCCCTGGGTGGGGTTGCAGGCGCAGCCCTGGGCCTCCAGCGGAGTAGCCGAGGAAAGCCGTGGTCTTGCCGGGCTGTGCCCAGATTAGACGGCCTCCCACCACACCTAGGCTCCTCCTTGGGTCTAGCCAGTTCCTTTGTCTGGTCCAGCGCAGACCAAGGGGCTCCACCCGGGCTCTCTATCCAGAGCACACACCTGGCCCCTGGGCATCCGCTCCTCCTTGAGTTTCTGCCAAGCCATCTGGGGAGACCTGGGCCGAACCTTTCTGCCAAGTTCAGCTGTCTACTTATGGGGGGGGGGGGTGGCCCAGCCAGGGTCTGGTCTGGCTCTATCTAGGGTGCCAGTGTACTGGGAGGCCCCCATCCTTCCCTCAGTTCGTCCACATTTCTCAGGGTCAGGGCTCATGTGTGACCAGGGTCAGGGCTCAGCATGTGACCAGGGTCAGGGTCAGGGCTCATGTGTGACCAGGCTCAGGGCTCAGCATGTGACCAGGGTCAAGGTCGGGGCTCATGTGTGACCAGGCTCAGGGCTCAGCATGTGACCAGGGTCAGGGTCAGGGCTCATGTGTGACCAGGGTCAGGGCTCAGAATGTGACCAGGGTCAGGGCTCAGGGCTCATGTGAGACCAGGGTCAGGGCTCAGAATGTGACCAGGGTCAGGGGTCATGTGTGACCAGGGTCAGGGGTCAGGGCTCATGTGAGACCAGGGTCAGGGCTCAGAATGTGACCAGGGTCAGGACTCATGTGTGACCAGGGTCAGGGGTCATGTGTGACCAGGGTCAGGGGTCAGGGCTCATGTGTGACCAGGGTCAGGGCTCATGTGTGACCAGGGTCAGGGGTCAGGGGTCATGTGTGACCAGGGTCAGGGCTCAGAATGTGACCAGGGTCAGGGCTCAGGGCTCATGTGAGACCAGGGTCAGGGCTCAGAATGTGACCAGGGTCAGGGCTCATGTGTGACCAGGGTCAGGGCTCAGGGCTCATGTGAGACCAGGGTCAGGGCTCATGTGTGACCAGGGTCAGGGCTCAGGGCTCATGTGAGACCAGCGTCAGGGCTCAGGTGTGACCAGGGTCAGGGCTCATGTGTGACCAGGGTCAGGGCTCAGCATGTGACCAGGGTCAGGGTCAGGGTTCATGTGTGAGACCAGGGTCAGAGTTCAGCATGTAACCAGGGTCAGGGTCAGGGCTCATGTGTGAGAATAGGGTCAGGGTTCAATGTGTGACCAGGGTCAGGGCTCAGCCGATGTTGCTCCATCTGCCCAGTATGGCCTCCTCTCTAGCCTGCCTTTAGGGTAGTCCCCCAGTGTTCTCTGGGGAACCAGAAGTAGGTGGGAGGTGTCCCCATCTGGGCTCTGCTCACTACCCCCCTCTGGAGGGCATCCGGCAGAATTGATCTATGCCAATGTTTGCAGCTGCTGAACCCCTTTCTCCCTGGTCCTTCCAGGTCCCCAGTTTGGCCGTGCCTGCACGGCCCAGCGCCTCTGGACTGGTGGCACCTAGGTTGCCATGAGCGTCTTCTGAACAGTCTGCAAGCTTCACGCAGCGCTAGATGGGCCCAGTCTCCCTGCACTGAGAGGCTCCCCCATCACCCAGATTTCCCGAGGGCGATGGCGGAAGGACTTCACCAAAGACCGGTCGGTTCGTCAGCAGTTTTCCCCCCGACAGCTCAGAACCCTAAACTCCTTTCTCAGGGTCCTTCCAGCCTTCACCAAACCCCCACCCTGGGAGACCTGCCTTAAGCAGATTTGCAAGCCTGGCTCTGCCTCTTCAGCGGGAGACAGAGCTCCCGCCCTTCCCGAAGGCAGAGTCTGGCCGCAGGACCCTCTGGCTGGGCCGCAGCCTCGGGGGTCAGGCCCGGTGAGTGTGCGCTTGTTCTGGCGGACCCTGCGGCGGGCCAGCCGGGACGGCGGTCACCCCGAGCGAAAGGTGCGGAGGGAATCCGGGCAGTGCTGGGCGGGCGGAAGCTCGATCCTCGGGGCCCCCTCTCCTCCGACAGGCCCAGCCCGCCCCTGCTAGCTCCTCCGTGAGGATTCTCACCCGCTCCCCAAGGCTGTCTGACTGGGTTGGACACATCCCCTCCCCGTAGGGTGGACGGTAGGGTGGACGTTCAGCCCGGCTGGCAAAGGAGCGCGCTCCACATGGCTCTGGGGAGCCTGAAAACAAGACCTGGGGTGGCCCAGGGCCCAGCTCCCGGCCTCCTGGCCCAAAATAGCCCTGGAAGCTCTTAGCCACACCATATATAGCCCTGCCTGCCCACCCCTCCCCCACCTACTGCAACAGCCAAGCCCCTGGGTGGGCAGCTCCAGGGTTTGACTGAGAAGAAGGGACAATCCCTCCCCAGACCAGGACACAGCTTCTGGGGTTGCAGGGACCTCAGGGGCCTCTTCAGCAGAGCCACCCCCTCCCCTGCCAATGTTACATAACTCAAGGTGTTGGCCACTTGGGGTGCTCTATCCCGGAATGAGCCTGTTTGTCCAGGTGGTTTTATTTACTCACAGATGAAGGAAACGGGCATCCCATCCAAAGCCCCGTCTCCGGAAGAAAGGCTCAGCCGTCACGTCTAGACACTATTCGGTTCAGCACATGTGGATTCTGTATTGCAACTGGCTAAAGTCATTCAGTGTGGTTCGGGGAAGCTCATCCAGTCACAGCTGTGTCTGCGAAATGCGGTGCTCAGTTCCACATGTAGCAAGAACAGCATTTAGTAAAGCCCCCAGACCCTGAGACCCCCTCCTGTCAGGCACCAAGCCTGGCACTAGGACAGCAGGGGACAAAGGCCTTCCTCACACAGCCTCACATCTCCCTGCACATCAGTGCCCCCGGCAGACCGAGGACCCCTCACAGATGGCACACACTGCTGGATGCCCGTCCTGGAGCAGAAGAGGGCTGGAGCCTCCCACCGAGTCCACACACATCTTCCTCTTGAAATGGAAAGGTCATGGCCTGGGGGCAATGCCCTGTCCAGCCCGATGGTGCTTCGGAGAGGTCGAGGGGCCTCTTCCAGACAGTCCTGGGTATGGTGAGGGGCCTGGGGGGGCAGAGGTGGGTGGGTGTGCACAGTGAGAGGGTAGGGCTGTCCTCTCAGAGCATCCTTGAGTGGGCCCTTGGGGGAAGGGGACAGGCAGGGTCTCAGAGCAGACCCCGGAGGGCGGCCAGGAGCACGGGGGCCAGGGCCAGGGCCAGGGCCCCGGGGGTGGCACGGCCCGCGCCGTTGCAGAGGTCATACTGGCAGCAGGCGGTGGTGGACGCGTGTTTGGAGTAGCCGTCGTACACGGTCTCGAAGCAGCTGGGCACGCAGGACTTGCTCACCTTCATCTTGGTTGGGGTGTAGTCTGCAGAGGGCAGGGAGCTGGCTGGGGCCGGAGAGGAGCCACGACCCCAGGCTGGCCCAGTCCCAGCAGGCCGGGCCATTAGGGCAGGTTCCCCCTCCGCTGGAGGACCCCAGGAAGGATCCTGGGGCAGGCAGGAGCTCTCCCACTCAGTCTCCCCAGGAAGGGCTGTGGGGTCATCCCATCGACTCACAGATTCGAGTGGTCATGCAGTAGGTGACCATGGACGGGCAGCGCATGGGGTTGAAGCAGTTCTCCCCATTGTAGGCACACACGTGGCAGTCCAGAGCCTGGGCTGGGGGCCGAGGGTGGGTGGGAGGGGGAGGGGGTCACGGAACAGGGAGGGGAACCCCTCAGGCCTGTCAGACCCCCAGTCCCATCACCTTCCCCAGGGCAGGGGAGCAGAAAGAGGGTGCTCAGCGTGAATTCTGGCCCCCTCCCCACTTTCAGCCCGCCTGGCCCATGCCTCCATCCTCCATCCGTCTTACCCAGAGGGAGGCCCATCAGGGCCGCCAGGAACAGGGCGAGCAGGGGCGCCATGGCTGGAGGCCAGAGGGCAGAGTGGGAGTGAGGAGTGGACAACAGCCGGTCTCGATGTAGCTCAGGCGGGGCTGGAGCAGGGCCCGGGGGCCAGACAAGCCCCTGCTCTCCAGCGGGTCCTGCGGGTGGCGCTGCGGCCTGCACCACGGGGACAAGGACAGGGGCTGGGCAGGGGGCCAGCAGGCAGAGGAGCCGCCCTCTCAGCCTGGGTGTCAGGGAGTTTCCTGGGGGGGCTCATGAGATGAGAAAGGAGGGGGACAGGCACACAGAGCCCAGGGTCCACAGAACAGAAGAGCTGTGCAGGCTGAAGCGGGGAGACAGGGAAAGGGGAGGCTGGTGGGCCCTGGCTGCCAGGCCAAACCCATGCTCCCCCCAGGGGTGTTCATGCAGGGTCCTGTCCCCGCCCAGGACCCTGGCTTCAGGGACTGGCCAGGGCAGGACTGGGCCCACGGGTGGGTCTCTCCTCAGTGCTCTCTCCCCACTCTCCTCTGCTCCTGGGGTGCCCCTGCGTGGGCCCCCCAGGTCCTGATACTTTCAGGCCCAGCTGGGCCCTGGCTCTCGGGTCTGAGTCCCTGCCACTTCCGGAAACTTCCAGCAAAGATGAGCTAGATCCAGCCTGTGGGGAAATTCGCTTTGAGAGCCTTCTAGGAGGACACTTGGCAGGACAGCAGGTGGAGGCGGGCAGTCTGGGTCTGGTGCTCGGGCCGGAGGAGATGCCCCCCTTTCTGGGAAGGGGTTGGGGGTCTGGACTACGGTTCACCTCCCCGCGGGGACACTCGGGCTCCAGGTCCCAGCCCCCTGCTTCCCAAGAACAACTCCAGCTTCCGTGACTCATTTCCCGGGCGCATCCTCGGATGCCCAAGGCCGAGTAAGGCCAGGCCGGCGCTCCGGCGCTCCCAGTGCCCCGCCCTCCCGGCCCGGCCGAAGACGGAGGGGCCAACCTGGTGGGTGTTAGGGTGACCGCGACGGTGACCTTCACACGCTGACTCCGCTGTGCCCGCGCTCGCCCAGCGCTCCTCGCCGGCCCCTCCCTGGGTCTGACAGCGCCTGTGTCCGTCGCCCCCGACGCTGCCCCGCTCGCTCCGCCGCCTCCGCCGTGGGGAGGCTCCCGCCGCGCGTGGGCTCACGCACGCCCCGCCCCGAGCCCGCCCCGCTCGGGACTCTGGACCAGTCCCCGCACCGGACCGGTCCGAGGCTCGGCTCAGACTCACCTTCGGCCCCGCCCCCAGCCCCAGCCCCGCCCCTGGCTCTGCGGGTACCGCCGCCCCTGCCTGCCTGCGGGCTCTCGTCCGCCGCGGGCTCTGGGACCTCAGTCCTGGCGTCAGGACGCTGCGACACCGCGCACAGCAGCCCCCGCAGTGACACGCACGCGGCCCTGCACGTCCCGGGCCGTCCTCGTGGGCCGGCCGCGCTCAGTGTGGCCCCTCCCTGTGCTTCCCCGCTGCCAGCACCCCGCGCGCTCGCCCCAGCGCCCGTAGCCGACCCCACACCCCCACGAGCCGCCCCCCCCATTTCTCTTTTTTTCTTTATTGATGTTTAGAGAGAGAGGAAGTGAGAGGGAGAGACAGAAACATGGATGAGAGAGAACATCGATTGGCCGCCTCCCGCACGCCCCCCACTGGGGATTGGCCCACAACCTGGGCCTGTGCCCTGACCGGGGATCCAGCTGGTGACCTCTTGGTGCAGGGTCACGCTCAACCACTGAGCCACACCGGCCGGGCCCCCCCCCCCCACTCACTCATTTCTTCAGCCTGGCAGGTTACCCAGCATCTCTGGCCTTAGGCCCCACACCTGTTCCCAGCTAACAATGTATAAAAGCCCTGAAAGGGTCCCATTGTCCGTGGACCCCTCTCCCCATAACAGGCGGCAGGGCTCAGACCCAGCAGCAGGGCTCAGGACCAGCAGCAGGGCTCAGGACCAGCAGCGGGGCTCAGACCCGGCAGCGGGGCTCAGACCCGGCGGCGGGGCTCACACCCAGGCGGCGGGGCTCAGGACCAGGCGGCGGGGCTCAGGACCAGGCGGTGGGGCCTGGACCAGGCAGCGGGGCTCAGGACCAGGCGGCGGGGCCTGGACCAGGCAGCGGGGCTCAGGACCCGGTAGCGGGGCTCAGACCCGGCGGCGGGGCTCAGGACCAGGCGGCGGGGCTCACACCCAGGCGGCGGGGCTCAGGACCAGGCGGCGGGGCTCAGGACCAGGCGGCGGGGCTCAGGACCGGCAGCGGGGCTCAGGACCAGGCGGCGGGGCTCACACCCAGGCAGCGGGGCTCAGGACCAGGCGGCGGGGCTCAGGACCAGGCGGCGGGGCTCAGGACCAGGCGGCAGGGCTCACACCCAGGCAGCGGGGCTCAGGACCAGGCGGCGGGGCTCAGGACCAGGCGGCGGGGCTCAGGACCAGGCGGCGGGGCTCAGACCCAGCAGCGGGGCTCAGACCAGGCAGCGGGGCTCAGGACCAGGCAGCGGGGCTCACACCCAGGCAGCGGGGCTCAGGACCAGGCGGCGGGGCTCACACCCAGGCGGCGGGGCTCAGGACCAGGCGGCGGGGCTCAGACCCAGCAGCGGGGCTCAGACCAGGCAGCGGGGCTCAGGACCAGGCAGCGGGGCTCACACCCAGGCAGCGGGGCTCAGGACCAGGCGGCGGGGCTCACACCCAGGCGGCGGGGCTCAGGACCAGGCCCTCAGAGGCTGTTCTTTCTTGGCACTCAGCCCAAATGGTCACACACACACACACACACACACACACACACACACACCTCTCCACCATGGGTTAAGGTGGCCAAGGAGGCCTCCGGGCTCACCTTTGAGGATTGACCCAAGGTGACAGGACTGACCTTGGCCATGGCTGGACAGCCCGTGTCCGCACAGCGCCAAGACTTGGCTGAGCCTGGCCTGTCTCTCACGACAGCCCTATGGAGACTCTTGGACAGGACCTGGAGGTGTTCCAGGGGACAGAGGGGCAGCCCTTCCTGGCCACTTTGTAGGGGAGGGGCTCCAGCTTAGCCTCCCCAGGAGCGCCCTTCTCTTCAGGTGTTAGGGGAGGTTCGTGGGGAGGGCCCAGTCCCCTCCGAGGGTTGCTGTGATTGGTGCCAGAACTTGGGGTCCTGTGTGGCCAGGTGCCTCCCCCCACGTCTGGAATAGCACAAAAAATGACACACTGGTTTTCAATCATTTATTTCTCTGGAGTTTCGAGTAGAAAAATAAACGGAAGCCAAGCAGAATGGATATGGAATCAGAAGGGGTCAGAATGCCTCTGTCCTCTGCTCTCCCTCGGCTCAGGAGCTGTGTCCTCTCGTCTTGGCCCCAGACCTTCCCAGGAAGCTGCCAGCCCGGGCCTCTGAGCCCGTCGTGGCTGAGGAGGGCCACGGACACCCAGGGGAAAGGAGAGAAGGCCTCGCCCTGCCGGTCACAGGCGGGGGGCCAGGCCGAGGGTGAGGAGGCTCAGGGCCAGCGCCAGGCCCGCGGCAGTGCCGGAGAGCAGGGCGCGGGCGGGGGCGCCACTGTGCAGCTTCTCGTTGCACAGGTCGCTCTGGCAGCACAGGGTGGTTATGCCTCTGCTGATCTGGCCAGGCAGGTTGTAGGAGGGCACACATGACTCCGCGCAGTCCTTCTCCACCAGGTTCCCTGACAGGGGTTCCACTGGGAAGGTGATGTGGTCAGGTCGGGGCCCCGCCCAGCTTGCACCCGCAGCAACCCAGCCTCCCCAGGGATGGTCCCCGACCCTGGGAGCTCCGAAGACCACTCACCCGTGCTCGTGGTCCTGCAGTAGCGCCAGTTGGCTGGGCAGCTCTGTGGCTTCTTACAGTTGGTGGTACTGGAGCAGACATGGCAGTGGAGAGCCTGGGCTGGGGGAGGGTGTCAGGGTCTCAGTCAGGGCCAGGGAGGCCGCCCAGGGACACAGGGAACACTGGGTTCACAGTTCGAAAAGACCCCTCCTGGACAGAGCTGTCTGCCAGCCTGCCTGAGGCCGTCCCTCCGAGGGCCCCGGGGCCTGCTGGTGCTCTGTCCTGCACAAGGCTCAGCAGGAGGGGGTGACAGTCTCAGGCTGCTGGGCCCTGGGACCTGTGCTGGGTGTGTCTAGAGGAACTGTGTGAAAGTGGCCGGTAGGGGGCGCATTATAGACCCTTCTCCACAGGCACCGACAGCTCTGGGACTCACTGAGCCCCCACCCCAGGAGCTGTCCCGATGGGCAGATGACATTCTAAGGACCTAAGGGTGAGTCAGGGCCCCAGGAGCTGTCTGCTTGGCCACACTGAGCCCGTGAGAAGAATGGCTGTCCTTGGGGGCTGGGGACCGGGAGGGACAGGGGCCAGACGACCCAAGCCTCTGCCTTTTCCTGGGGGAGGTGTTGCTCCCTCTCAGAGTGCCTGTCCCACGGGTCCATCCAGGATTCTCCGATTCCATAGTTCTAAATTCTGAGCCTAGTACCCCACAGTCTCAGGATTCACTGGGCCTCAGGGTCCACATCTCAGGCTCCAATGCCTGGCCCACAGGCCGCCCCTTGCCAAGCCCCCGCCAGCCCTCACCTGGCCCGGCGGCCGCAACCAGGGCAGCCAGCAGCAGCAGCAGCGTCTTCATCGCAGCGTCTTGGGGAGCAACGGGGCCCCTCCTCTCCAGAGGCCTTATAACTGGGACGGAAGCTGGTGGGAGGGGCAGGGCAGGCAGCCAGGCAGGGGCATTCCAGTGACACCCTCCAGCCCCAGGCCTGCTCCTCCCTGCAGCACCCTGGCAGCCCTCTGTCCAGCCCTGGGTCACTGTGTCCTAATCGCCCGCTGCCTCCCTTGCGTCCCCCCTTCAGGGTCACAGACAGGTCTGTGCCTTCCTGGGCTCTGGGCTCTGGCTCAGGGTCGCTGGTCGACCCAGCAGAGCCAGGGAAGCCTAGTGTCTTGCTGAGATGCCAGAGCTCAGGTGGCAGGATGGGCCCTGGGCACAAGGTGTGGCTGCTGAGTACAAGGTGTGGACACTGGGCACAAGGTGTGGCTGCTGAGTACAAGGTGTGGGCCCTGGGCACAAGGTGTGGCTGCTGAGTACAAGGTGTGGACACTGGGCACAAGGTGTGGACACTGGGCACAAGGTGTGGCTGCTGGGCACAAGGTGTGGCTGCTGGGCATAAGGTGTGGACACTGGGCACAAGGTGTGGCTGCTGGGCACAAGGTGTGGCTGCTGGGCACAAGGTGTGGACACTGGGCACAAGGTGTGGGCCCTGGGCATAAGGTGTGGGCCCTGGGCACAAGGTGTGGCTGCTGTGCACAAGGTGCGGACACTGGGCATAAGGTGTGGGCCCTGGGCACAAGGTGTGGGCCCTGGGCACAAGGTGTGGCTGCTGTGCACAAGGTGTGGACACTGGGCACAAGGTGTGGCTGCTGGGCACAAGGTGTGGGCCCTGGGCACAAGGTGTGGACCCTGGGCACAAGGTGTGGCTGCTGGATGTGCCTGCAGAGAGGGGAGCCCGACCAGTGTGTGGTTCAAAGGGCAGCGGGACCTGGCACATGGAGAGCAGCAGGGGGCCTGGGGGTGTGGGGACAAAGAGTAAGGAAATCATGGGCCCCTCCTGTCTCCACCACCTTGCCTCCACCCCTTAGGGGCCTCAGGACTCCTCCCGTAGGGCTCCCTCCACCGTGCGGGGGCCCTGGCATCTTCACCTACTTAGGGACTGTTGCTGTCTTGCCTCTGCTTTGGTCCCCGCAGAAACAGCAGCCCCTTCAGATGGTGCCAGAGACCTGGTGCTGGGCCCAAGCTCCCACCCCGTTCTCTTGCCGAGCTCACAGGGAAAAACATGAGAAATACTGGCCTCTGAGCACGGGCCCACCTCCTGCCCTTCTCACTTCCTCTCTTGCGGTGTTTTCGCTCAGGGGCCCCGGACCCTGCTGCTGCTCTGCTGTGCGGGCAGCCCCTGCTGCGTGTGTGGGTTGGCCCCGCAGAGGCCATGCTGGTGGCGAGGGCGGCTGGGCACAGGTAGAGATGAGCCCTGGGCCTGTCCCAGCGCCACCCGCTCCCCACTGACGGCCACGTGCCAGCAGGGACTGTAGAGACAGGCCTGCTACAGGGCGGGGATTGGTGCAGCCCAAGGCTCTTGGGAACACCAGACTCAGGCTGGTCACAGCTGGGCTCCAGACCCCTGGCCCTTCCTCCTGCGTGCCCCTGGGCAAGACAACTCCTGAGCCCCGGGTGGGGTCCGGTGGTGCCACCCGAACACTCTGTGCTGTCCTCCCTGAAGGGTTACTGGAGGCAGACGCTCCCACGGGGGCAGGGCTGTGTGGGGCCCTCTGGGACCCTGAGGGCAGGGCACAGGCTCAGTTACCTCAGTGATGTGCCAGGCTGTGCTGACTGGCCCAGGTAGGGGATGCAGGTGGGGAGGGGTGACTCACTTGGGCCAAGGGGCAGGGAAGCTACTGGAATAACAGGTTGGAGGACTGGAGTTCCTGTTGGTCCAGGGGTGTCGGGTAGAAGCAGAGGTGCAACTGGGTTCTGGGTCTGGGAGACCTTTATCCCTGACGAGCTGCCCACGGAGACTCAACTGCCCTCCCCTGCCCTATCCTGGGGGGGCCTCTCTCTTGCTCTGCCAGAGCGCGAAGCCACTGAGTGGTCCGCAGCCCGCCCCCTGGGGCAAAGCCTGTTCCCTGAGAGGGCCTGCACCCCGCCCTGGTTCCTGCGGGGCCGCGAGACAAATCAGTTCTCAGGCCTGGCAGGAGGCGCCCCGTGAGATCCCTGCCCACGCCAGCACTGGGGCCCGCCCTGGGACACCTCCACAGAGCCCTGCAGGGCCCTGGTTGCCAGCTTCTCTGCCGGGTCCCTGAGAGGACTCGGGGGTTGGGGGACGAGGAAGAAACCCTCAGCGTGGGAGCTGCGTCCTCCTGTGAAGTGGAGGGAGCCTGCAGAAGGGCCTGGGCACGGAGCCGCGGGGAGGCCGGGCTGCGGGCCCTCAGGGGTCCGAGAACCGCAGAGCCCAGAGACCCCAAGAACCAGGTGGCCCCGAGGGGCTCGTTCTCCCTCTGTTAGGACAAGCTCTCCCTTGTCCCAGGGAAGGACAGTGTTCATTCTCATGCTCTACCCTGGGTCCCTCCCTGCTGTGCCGCCACTCACACTCCTCCGGTGTAGCTGGAGCTACAGCTGTGAGCCCCTGAGCCCCCCACGCTCGGGCTGCAGGTTCCAGGGCGGTGAGCACGGCCCCTCGCTTTCCTTCCTCGCTCCTCCACCTCCATGTGCTCTGATACCCGGCCCCCACCCATCCCGCACGCATCTACCCATCCATTACCCATCCATTCTTCTATCCACCTACCTGCCTATCTACCCATCTATCCATCAACCATCCACCAACCATCCACCAACCATCTACCCATTATCCATCCATCCTCCCTCCTCCCTCCCTCCCTCCATTTACCCATCTGTCCTCCAGTCATCCCTCCACCCACCTACTCATCTGTTCACACCACGTGTGTGTCCTCTTGGAATTAGCTACAATGTTTCTTCCATCTTCCCTTTCTCATTCACATAGCTGCCCTGACAAGAGAGCACAGGCATTCTCTTTTTATTTTATTTATTGTGCATCCTTACCCGAGGACATTTTTGCATTTATTTTTAGATAGAGAGGGAGGGAGAGAGGAAGGGAGAGAGAGAGAGAAACGTTGATGTGAGAGAGACCACATCGAGTGGCTGCCACCCATAAGACCCCACCCGGGACCGGGGACAAACTGCAACTGAGGTACGTGCCCTTAGCAGGAACCGAACCCGGGACTCTCTGGACCACAGGTCGACGCTCTAACCGCTGAGCCAAACCGGCCAGGGCAAGCACAGTAATTCTTAAAGACCTGGTGGAGGCTCTGAGAACCTTAGGTCTGCAGGTGGTGGGGGGACAGCTCTGGGCCTTGCAACACCTGACATGCAGACCCATTCATTTTATTTAAGGTTATATGATAACTGGGGGGAGGGGGGGTCGGGAGGACACACTGATCCTAACTCTGAAGCGGGAAATGAATATCTTACATATATTTGTGCCCCGTGAGTCTGTCTGTCCATCTTCGGCACCAGTGCCTCTTACACAGAGAGCGTGAATCCCTTTCCTTGGCAACCCACCACCCCCGTCACTTTGTCCCCTATCCCTTGGGAACAGGAAGCCGCCGGAGACCAAGGTGACTTCCTCACGTGGCCGAGACCTGAGCAGGCTCCGTCTCTCGGCCTCTCCGGGCCACTGTGAGTCTGGAACAGCCCCTCAGACACTCTCTCAGCCTTGGTGGCCTCAGGGACCAGGATTTGGCACCCGTTCCCGGCCTGGGGACTTGCATGTGTCTGGAGCGCACTCTGGGTGTGGGGACGGGCCCCAGGGGAGGGAGGTGGATCCCAGCTGGGATGCCAGGGAATCATCACTGCAATCTCAGGGCTTATGGGAACAAACATGTGTCATCTCAGCCTGGGGAGGTCATGTGAGCAAGCATGGGTGGCTCCCTGGGGAGCAGGGCATGCTGGGTGGGGGGAAGGTGGCACCTGGAGGCCCAGGGGCACCTCAGAGCTGGTGAGAAGGGCGTGGAGCAGGCTTCCTTCCTGCCAGCCCTGCCCAGGCCTCCCCCAGGCACTGAGGAGGGCAAACCACAGCCTGAGCCCCCTGTGGCCCACACCACACCTCCCCAAATCGTCCTGCCGGCAGCAGTAGTGGGGGGTTACTAGGGGTGAAGCCAGCCTCCCTGTCCTGCTGCCCCCCACTTTGCACCAGCCTTTCCGACCTCTGGGCCTTTGCACCCGCTGTCTGACTGCCTTATCGCGGCCAGATGACAGCCACACCCCCTTCTGAGAGGCCGGCGGCCCTTCCATCACCGGCCCTCCTCCACAGCCCCGTCAGGAGCTGCGTCCACACTTTTTGGCCGGTTTGCTGGCCGTGGCCCCCTGTCTGTTCTGTCCCCAAGGAGTCCCCGCACCCATGAGATCCTGGTATGCCTCTGAGTGTCCACTAATCTAATGGCTGTGGGGAGCCCTGAGGGTGGGGGACGTGGAGAGAACTCAGATCACATCGCAGACGACCCTGCTGACTCAGCAGCGATCCCAGAAAGCTCTGCGCCTCGGTTTCCTCACTGTGGTGAAGGAAAACCACCCCCCCAAGGACAGTCTCCTTGCCCCGCCCTGAGTCCTGAACGCAGGGGCTCTGGGAGGAGAGTCACAGGTTGTCACGTGGTGGTCCAGGTGGCTTTCCTTTGAGACTTTCAGGGCTGGGTCTGCCCCAGAGCCAAGGAGTCGAGAGAGGAAATTTCCACCAAGAGGCTGGGTGGGGAGCCCAAGGAGCCCAACCCTGAGCCCCAACTTTTCTCCTGGGATGGTGGCCGCACCCAGGCCCCAGGCCAACCTCCTCCTGGGTCTCGGAGCTCACACGCCCGGCTGTGCAGGGAGATCTGCTGGGCGCTCAGCGTCCCCCGGGAATCGAGGCGTCTGGTTTCAGGCAGGGTCCCCTCAGCCCGCCCTGTCCTCAGAAAGTCCAAGGTGCACACAGGGGGCAGAACCCACGCAGGAAGGCCCCCCTGCTGGCACTGTGCTCCCCGAAGGAAGAGCCCACAGCTGCGCGGGCACAGACTGCCAGCCAGCCATGCGGGCCCTTGGGGGACAGCGGCCTGCAAGGCGAGAGGGGGCTGCTGGGGACAGGAAGGGCCTGTCCCTTGGAGGGGTGCTTAGGAATATTCCGGATGCTGCTACCAGGCCAGGCCTTGGGAGATATGGACGCGGGGCATTCGGTGCCCAGGACTGAGGGACGAGCCCAAGCGGGGAGGCTCCCAGCCACCATGACCGCCCTTTTCCTGGGTCCTGAGCTGGGGGAACCAGGTGGGCGGGAGGCATGCCCCTCTCGCCTGGCCTGCAAGCCCGTCACCCAGGACAGGATGTGCAGGCTGAGAAGGACTCGGGCTATGGGAGGGGCAGGGACTCTCGGGCGGGAGCCACAGGCCAGCACCTGGGTGAGCTCCTGAGGAAGGGCCCTGGGCAGAGGTGTGAAGACAAAACTCCTGGGGAGTTGGGGGCCTCTGCCCTAGGAGAAGACCTGGAGTCCTTGGCGCCTGGCTGTGCCCAACAGGGGTTGGGGCACAGGACAGCAGGGGGCACCTATGCTGGCGGACGCTGAGGCTCAGAGCTCCCCAGAGAACCCACATGAGCCCCCCAACCTGGCTGTACTGAGAGTGTGTTTCAGCACCCGGCCCCGGGGCCCATCAGCTTTTCCGCGGATGAGGGGTGAGAGCGGGCACCTGGGGAACTGCTCCGCCCTGTGAGGTGCCCGTCTCTGAGGCACAGAGGACCTCCCCCAGGACCACGGACAAGAAACATGCCCACACACTCAACATCGCAGAGCAGGACAGAGCAGGGCTGGCACCTTTATTCTCCCCTCGTGAGACCCTCGGTGTGGCTGGCAGGGGTGCCCCTGAGGCAGAGGGTGGCCCCCAGTGGAAATGGGCCCTGAGCCTGACACTGATCCCCTCGGTGACCTGGCACAGACCCGCAGTGGGCAGCCAGGGGGCCGGGGACAGCCCTGCATTCACGTGGCAGCGCTGGCCGGACTGGGGAGCCCTGAGGTAGAGCCCAGGAGGGCGTGCCCAGCTGGCCCTTCTCGGGACCTGGCTCCAAGGAGACCCCAGGGGTCTGGGAGGAATGAGGAATGGTGCACCAGCTGGAGGGCGAGTGGAGGAGGGGCCAGTGGACGGGCCAGTGCTGGGAGGGTGAACGCCCCGGAGCCCCACACTCAGACCTGACCCAGCTCCCCTGCGCCAGCAGCTCTGGGCACCGGAGGAGTGGGGGGCACGCTGGTCACAGAGCACACCGGCTCCTTGGGCGGCAGGGCCTGAGGGGGGCCTGGCAGAAGCCCCATGTGGGGGTGGAGCATGCTGAGGAGAATAGAGGTGCTCTTCCTGCTCCCAGAGGTGTGCCCCTGCACTTCCCGCGTGGGTGGGTTCCCCGGGACAGGGGAGAGCGTCCGCCCTGGGGCAGGAGCCTGGAGGAGGAGGGAGATGGGCCAGGGCAGGTGAGCTTCCTGCCAGAGCGGGGTGCTGGGAGAGCCCAGGCTGAGAGGGACACAGCAGCCCCAGGCCGGTGGGGCGGGGCTCACCAGACGGCCCAGAGCAGCAGCCACAGCAGGCTGGCCGAGGCGCTGACCCACAGGGCCCCAGGGCCGCCCGCCAGGCCCAAGGCTGAGCTGCGGTTGCACTGGTTGCCCTGGCAGCAGGCGACAGAGAGGGCGCGGCCGTCGGAGGACACGGTGCTGTTGGGGCAGGTCGGGGCGCAGGACTTCATCACCAAGATGCCGCCGGGGTTGGCTGTGGAGACAGGGGGAGGCCATGGGTGGCAGCTCCGAGCACCGCCCGCCCAGCCAGCCCTGGGGCGCTGCAGGCGCAGCCCACTCTGGGCTCCTGAAGAGCCTGCCAGGATGTGGGGGGTCCTTCCTGGTGCCTTTGGGCCTGGGGAGCCCTGCCTCCTCCAGACCCCGCTCCACCACGACATCTGAGGCCCGGGAGTGGGTTAGGAACTCCCGCACCCTGTCTCTCTGCCTCTCCCGCTGACCGATGTCGGGAGTGCCTCTCTGTCCTAAAATGCAGGGTCCAGAGGAGAGGTCAGGCCCTCTGCTCAGCCTTGTCCCTCTCTGGGCCTGGAGAGCCGTAGGGAACGGTCCACCACAGGCCACACAGGGCTCAGAGTCCGCCACGGGAGCGAGCCCTGGCCTCAGCCTTCGCCTGGCGCAGGGGGCAGAGCTGAAGGGTCCTGAGCCGATGGGCAGGCGGAGCCGGGAGGTGACAGCAGCTCCCCTCCTGTCCAGAGGTGCGAAGGCTGTGCCCTGAGCCAGCGGGCCAGAAACTGGGGCGGGGCGGGGGCTCCACACCTAGGGGCCCGCGCTCTCTGTGCCTGAGCTCCCTCCCTGGGAACGTGGACGAGCACAGCCGGCTGTGCGGCCTGAGAGCTGGGGCACAGGCATCTGGGTGTGTGCGGGGCCGGGAGCAGCCGGCGAGGGCAGCGCCCTTCAGGCTGCGACCCTCCTCCTCGCGCGGCACCAGGCGAGACACCAGACAGTGATATCTCTCCCCAGTCACCTCCAGCCAGACTCAGACCTCCGGGACGTGACCTCTGCAGCCCCACCCGTACCCTGTCCCTTCCTGTCACTGTCACGCTCAGGCCCTGCTGGATGTTGACGTGTAAAAGCCCACGTTCGGGCCTTGGGTCCTGGCAGGGCGCTGACCCTCACATCAACACGGGTGAAGGGGGGCTTGGGGGTCTCTGCCACCTGCAGCCCCGGGTGGGCCTCACTCCGGGGCTCCTGCGGGAGCGTGGTGGTGTCCCCAGGGTCTGGCCTGGGCGGGCGTGGGTACTCACTGGCCCGCGTGATCACACAGTACTTGTCCGTCGGGGCACACTCCACCAGAGACTCACAGTTCGCGTGGCCGCAGCACACGTGGCAGTGCAGGGCCCAGGCTGGGAGGAAGGAAGCACAGGCCCATCAGTGTGGGCGGGGCCTGGGGCTGGGGCTGGGGCCTGGGGCCTGGGGCCTGGGCTCAGCGCCCGGCTGCCTGCTGAACGGCCACTGCCCAGCTGGCCCTCTCTAACCTCCTCTTCCTCCCTCTCCCCCTCCCGCCCTTCAGAGGTGCGCCTGGTCCCCTGGGACGGGCACTGGACTGGAGACTTGGTGGTGCTGACCAGCCCTGCGCGTGTGACTCAGCAGGCATGAGGGTGTAGGTGGGGTGTGGGTGTCTACAGGCGGCCCCCGGACAGAGGACAGAGCAGCGGGGTGCACTACATAAGCCATCTGGGCCCCCTCTTCACTGCCCCTGTCCCTCTCTGAGCTGCGGGGTCCTCGCCTATGACAGGACAGGCTGTAGCTCGAGGTGGTCAGTCTCGCAGAGGATGGAAGGACACCGAGCCCCGGGCTCTGCACCCCTGACTGGGGGCTGGGCCGCTGCCTGTCCCAGAGATGGCTGTGCACACAGTAGGTCCTAGGGCTGCTGCGTTCACAGGGCGGAAAGGCCCTGCCCCTCACTGCCTGGCACCTGCCCGTGACCCGGTTCCAGGCCCGTCACTGGGGGGTCTGCAGCAAAGGCCCTGGTCCTGACCAGCCCCTGCATGCTGTGACTAGCCCCAGGTCTCAATGACAGGGAGACCAGGTGACCCAAAGTACGGTATGTAACCCCAGGTGGCCTGGAGCAGAGGGCACAATGACACTTCGCGGGAACGTGATCTTGATAGAGGACAGGGACCATCTGGGAGGGCTTCCTGGAGGAGTGGCCCTGGAGCTGGAGCTGGACCGATGGACGGGTTTCTACTTGTTGTCTGGGGAAAGGGCCCTCAGGGAGAGGGCCTGGCAGAGGCCAGGCCAGCTGGGACCAGGCCGTGCGGGTCCGAGCTACGACGGGGCAGGCGGGAAAGCCAGGAGCTCCGTGCAGGCTGTGGGGCCGGTGCCAGGGCTTTGGGGACAGGGAGCTGGGTGCCCTGAGGGGCTTCTCACAAGGGGCACCCTGTGCGGTATCCTACAGGACGAGGCATGCCCACTCTGCCTCGGGGCTGGTGTCTATGAAATGGGGTGATGCACCTTCCCAGCTAGGCTGACTGAGTCCTTTTCCCTGTATGGAGAGCGAGGGGTGCTAGTGGCTGAACCACGGGCCAGCAGGAGGTCAAACTCAGTCCCCTACCCTCAGCTAAGAGACTGTGCTTCCCAGATCAGGAATCTAGAACCCTCAAGAATAGGCCTCTCTCTGTCCAGGGTGACCTGTCTGTAACCATGTGCTGGATGCTGCTGGGGGCCAGGAGAGGCTCAGTTCCTCTGAACAAGAACCTAGCAGTGCCTCAGTTCCCCTACCCACCCTGCACCCCCGGGATCCAGAGTGCCCCCATGTCCCTGGGCCATGCTGGGAATTCATGGGTCAATGTCTCCAGGCCCCTGGAGCAGCACCCCTCAAGCAGGTGCTGTCCCAGCATCAGACTCCCACGAAAGAGCCTTATGCCCTTGGGCAAAAGTCCCCTCCATCTGTCTTTCCAGCTTCCCCAAGCTCCCGCCTCCAGGTGCCCCCCCCAACCCCCAGGGCTTCCCCGGGGTGGAGGCTCACTCACCACCCCACTCCCAGGGAGGCTGATGGGGATAATTACCCTGGGTGGTAATTATTCTGCTGATAATCACAGGCTGTGGCACCCCCCTCAGGCCCCGTTTCCGGTGGCCTCACCACCGCAGGTGCTCTGGCTCGGGTCACACAGCTGGGCCCTCGACAGTCAGTAGGGGTCAGCTGGGGTTGGAAGGGGCACCGACCGTTCTCCTGTTTTAGCACTGAGAGTCCCACCTCCCAGGAACCCCTTTTGTCCCAGGAAAACAGACCATTGGGACACTGGCGGCACCAGGTCCCCTACACAGCCCAGGGCTCTGCGGCCTCCGCCTGCCACCAGGCCCTTCACCCCGGTAAGACCCAGGTATACCAGAACTGGGCCCAAAGGGGCCCGAAGGTCTGCGCGGCTGCTTGGCCAGGGAGCAGCCACGAGGCCTCCCCATCACCCCCTGCAGCCCCAATCCACAGACCCCCGAGACCGAAGCCAGCCGCCCGCACCTTCTGTCCCTGCCCCGGCACCCAGCGGCCCTTACCCAGGTCCGTGCACAGAGCAGCCAACAGACACAGCAGAATGAGCCTCATCGTGGGGTGTCCGCCGCAGGGACTGGGCGCAGCCGTGCACGGGGCTTTATACTCCAGCCGGGTCAGACCCATAATTTAGCTGGAGACAAGCTTGTGGGGGAGGGGCCAGCCTGACTCAGGTGCCTACGCGTCCCTGAGCCCCTCCCCCAGGGCCCCGGTGCTCTCTGTGCCCCTCACTGCCTGTCCCCCCATCCTGAGTCTTGGTTTCCTTGTTCCTGTGGTTGTCATGAGGCCCCAGGTGGGACTGGGGAGCAAGAGGCAGAAACAGGTACGGTGGTCTGTGGGTGACAGCCCACCCTGGGGGTCTGGGGGACATGGCCCTGCCCTGGGTTTGGTCTGGAGGACACAGCCTACCCAGAGGCCTTTCAAGTAGGTACAGCCATCTCCCTGGGCCAGGGCAGGCAGGGAGGTCCAAACCCATTTAATGGGGAAACTGAGGCGCTGCAGACTGAAAGCTGGCTTTGGGCCCAGTGTCTGGATCTCCACTGGCCACACAGGCTGCCTGGGGATCTGGCAGATGCCGCTTCTGAGTCGAGGACCTGGGTGAACCTGTGACTCTGCATTCCAGCAAGTTCCTAGGGTACCGGTGTGCTGGCCTGAGGGGCCCACTGAGCAGAGGCAGAGTCAGAAGTGCCCCAGCACCCCAGTTGGCACTCAGTCACTGCCATCTGGCCTCCAGACCAGGCTCTGGGGACCGTGAGTGGCAAGGGTGCCCTTGGTGGACACAAGAAACGGCCTGCGCACAGTGGGCCACTCCCTGTTGCTATTTGGGGGTCTGGCTGGGGTTCCAGAGGCTGAGGGGTAAGAGTTCACACCTCCAGGCATCTCTGCTCCATCCCCTCCAGCACCTCGGGCCTCTCTTCTGGTGGCAGCAGGTCCTCCCCAGTGACCACAGCCAGCGTTCTGGATGCAACCCCGGGGTCCCCGTCCTCTGGTCCTCTGAGAGCCCCGAAGGCAACTGCTCTCTGCATAAGTCAGGCAGTGGCGGATCACTTCCGGCCTGTCTGGACAGCGAGGAGCCAGGATGCAGGGATGCCCGAGTTCCTGAGCGTGGGCAGCTGGTATTTTCCAGGACTGAGGAGGTGGCAAACTGGATAAACCAGGGTGTCCCAGCAGCCAGCGGCGCACAGGGTGAAGCTGGGACAGTCCAGCCTGCCCTCCCTCAGGCTGGGGCCAGCTCCCAGAAGAGGGGCACGGGAGGTGGGCTAGCACAGGTGAACAGGAATTCACCAGCCAGACAGGGGCTTAGGTGAGCAGGCCACCTCCGGAACGCCTGCACAGGACAGTCCCTCCCTGACCATGCAACATGCCCTGGGCACTGTGGTCCTCGGGCAGATCCTGGCCATGGGATGTCACGCTCTGTTGCCCTGTTCAATGAAGTGCCAATGGATGGCCTGTCACCAGCACGGCTCCTGCTTCAGGCATCTAGCTTCCTCTGGCCCCCCCTGCTGGCAAAGCGGAAATGTGGGCGCAGAGTAGCCACTGGAAGCTGGGCGCCAAGGGTGGGCGTGCACCTCAGCCCATACTTCACCTCCAGCACAGAGGGATGGGCACCTCAGGGCTCCTTCCAGCCGCGGGGCAAAGTGCACTACTGCCCCACCCCAAGGGGCCGCTGGGGCCCGGCCAACGTCTCGGAACGGCCCCGTGCCCTGCGCGCGGCTCCCTGCCCAGAGGAGAGGCTGGGGCTCCTGCTCCCTCCAGGCACCCTTCCTGCACCTCCCCTAGTAGCTCTGCACGTGGTGGGTCCTGCCTGGGCACCTGGTGTCAGCTCACACACCCAGGACTCCCGGCCCGTCACACTGGAGAGTCGGCCTCCCATCTCTAGCCCCGCCCACTCTCCCTTCACTGCTCCCTGTCACACTCACATGCACGGTCACACAATGTCACACACGTTCTGGATGTTCACACACACGCACACACGCATACACCCCACACACTCAAGCACATGCACACGTCTCACACACACTCGGTGTGCAATCCTGAGTCCAGCCTGTCGGCCTCTGTCCTGGGGGCACTAGGCACACCACTGCCTCCCAGCCTCTCACAGAGCCATTTCTCCCAACAATGACAGTGGACAGGCTGGGGCTGGGCACCTCTGCCACCTGGCCCCTGCAAACCAGACACGGGTAAGGGGCACTGGCAGAACTGAAGACAAGGAGGTCCCCACGCACTGAGTCACTCATTCGTTCATTCCTTCCACACTGTTCATTGCACCTCCCACACGGTGGACACAGCCGCATGGCCCACACTGGAGAGGGCCAATGGCTTCACCGGAAGGGGGTCCTGGGGGACAAGTGGGCAGGACTAAGGCGGAGGGGATTCTGTCCATCCCTCCCACAGTCCTAGGTCCTGGAGGAGACCGACTTAGGAAATCCTCCAGGCTTAGGTACAAGAGCGCTCGACTGCACGCCCGGCTGTGCCCTCCCACCACCGAGGCCTTGGGGGTCGCTCGTGGCCAACCTCGGAAGGCATTTCTGCAGCTCTAATGCAATGATGCCAACAGACACTGCTGGGGTGCACCTGTACCTTGCCCTGCCCCCGCCCCGTGCTTGTGCCTGGAGCACTGCAGTAGTTGGACTGGGTCCCATCCCCCCACCCAGCGAGGTGTCAGAAATGCCAAACCATAAATGCCCCTCAGTCCCTGAGGCCCATCAATGACAGCTAGCACTGGGAGTCCAAGTTCCACCCCCTGACCCAGGGGGTGCTCTTCTCAGCTGGGGTACTCACCCTTTCACCGCAGCCCTGGAAGGGGAACAGGAAGGAAGAGGGGTTGCCAGCCATAAACTGTCACAAGGCTCCATTTCAACGAGACACTCGACAACAAGGCTGCAATGGGAAGGGGAAGCCAGACCACGAGTCAATCAAGGGAATGAGTTTAATGCTACAGCCTCCCACCACCTGTGGGAGTCACTTCCCCTGAGCCGTGCCCAGGCCCAGCCCGCAGCCACAGTCGCTCTGCGGCCCAGCACAGTCTGGGGACACGCAGGTGAGCGTCAGGAACAGCAGCAGCCCAGCATGTGACAAGAAGGAGGGCACAGGCCACGCCAGGAAAAAGGACTTCGCCTGACCGGACGGTGCAGGATATATTGGACACACACTGAGCACTGCTTGGACACAGAGGAGAAACATGCAATATTGCCGACAGGAAGAAAACCAGAGAGAGAGGAACGTGTGAATGAAGGTACAACACCAGCTCTATTTCTGTATCTATACAACCCAAGCCTTCTGGTGCCCCCAACACACCCAGGGGCCCACGTGGGAGAGGGCGCCTAGGGGGCAGGCAAGAGCCATCACCTGGCAGGGAGAGGCTCAGACTCTGTGTTCACAGCTGCTTTGGGGGCTTCTGGCTTGTGTGCAGTGTGGCATCACACGCCCCCAGGTCTGGCCTGGCCATGTGCACCGGCACCCTGGTCTGGGGTGTCCGTTGGGAAGGCACAGGTGGCTCAGGCCTCAACTTCTCACACTCAGGGATGCTCAGGCACCTGGGAGCCAGGACTCCTGGCATCGGGCCAGGGCCCAGGTGAGGTGGGGATGGGGTGGGGGGAGGGGGGAGGATGCTGGCTCTCAGCGGGCCTGAGTGGGAGAGCTGCGGCTGCGCGCCTGTGCGGGCCTGGGTGGGAGAGCTGCGGCTGCGCGCCTGTGCGGGCCTGGGTGGGAGAGCTGCGGCTGCGCGCCTGTGCGGGCCTGGATGGGAGAGCTGCGGCTGCGCGCCTGTGCGGGCCTGGGTGGGAGAGCTGCGGCTGCGCGCCTGTGCGGGCCTGGCTGGAGAGCTGCGGCTGCGCGCCTGCGCGGGCCTGGGTGGGAGAGCCGGGGCTGCGCGCCTGCGCGGGCCTGGGTGGGAGAGCCGCGGCTGCGCGCCTGCACGGGCCTGGGTGGGAGAGCTGCGGCTGCGCGCCTGCGCGGGCCTGGGTGGGAGAGCCGTGGCTGCGCGCCTGCGCGGGCCCAGCCCAGTGCCGGCCCCCACCTCTCTGACGTCCCCTCATCCTGCACATTCAGTTACGACGCCCGGGAGGCTGAGTTAGGCTCAGCCTTCTTGCCGCCCACACACGTTCCTGGGACACGGGAGCCCCCCGCCCCGCCCCAAGGGCTGAAGAACTGAACCCAAATCTCCAGCCCCGCCGATGCCACGGCGCAGCAATGCCAGGCCTCCCAGAAGTGCTCGGTGAATCTCGACGACCCAGGGGGTCCACAGCCTGTCAACCTGCACCCTCCTTTCAGAACCCACGGATCGCCCCGCCCTGACGGTGTCCCGCCCCGTGACAGCTGTTCTCAGTGGGACGTTTGAAATCACTGAAACTTAGTTTTTCACTTAACAACAAATGAACAGAATCGCTCCTTCTTCTGCCTGCTCCCCATATTCGGTCCTGACCAGCCGGTCATGTGTGCCCCTACGCGGTCACTGTCCGCCACAAGCTGGCCCCCACCTGCTTCCACCTCGGGCTTCTCAGGACCTGGCTGCCGGCCTTCCAACGGAAGGTCGCTGTCCGGCCAGTATTCTCAGCTGAGTGGAACGAGACAGATCCGAATGCCCGGAAGGGGGCTGTGGACCTTCCCCGAGCCGGGTCCCCAGGACACTCCCTCACAGCCATGGCCATGCGGTCCAGACAAGTCCCCGATTCCAACACCGGCAGCCACTCTGTACCTCGCAGGTGAGACACCGCGGTGGGCCTGAGGGAGCAACGGAAGGAAGGAGAACGTTACGACGCCAGACCTGTCAGGGGAACGCCCGCCACGCTCTCCCTCCTCTGGGGCCCGTCCTTCCACACCCACGGCCCACCCCAGCCCTGTCTTCTCTCCCGAGCTCCCCTCGCGCACCCACACCCAGAACACGGCAGGGACGCAGGCCCACAGACAGCACCTCCGCACCTTTCACAGGAGCCCCCGCACTCCTGCACACACCTGGCATCTCACCTGCTGCTGCTCTAGGGACAGAGACCTCAGCGCGGGTGTCGCTCCGCCCGCCCACCGTGGGCCCAGCCCCGCGTCCTGACTCCCACATCCTGCACCATAGCCTGCTGTCGGGTCCGTGTTCCAGGAGGACTCACCTTGTCTGTCTATCCCAGTGACCTTTGCCTCCACCTGCAGCAAAGAGGAGGCAAGGGACAGGGTCAGAAGCCCCTTGGATGGACATACGAGGAGCCTGGAAGCAGCGCTGGGGTGGTGGGGTGGGGTCAAGGCCCTCAGATGTTGCTCCTTGTAGGAGAAAGTACTGGTGGGGCTGGGTACATAATCAGGACCTGCAACCAAGACTTTGCTCCAGCTCTGCTCCGGCCTAGCTGCACCGCCTGCAGCCGCCTGACCTCAGAGGGTCCGGGCGCTTCCATTTGTGCGAGGTGCCGGCGGGACAGTGCTGAGGGTCAGGAAGCGGGACCCAGGGCAGGAACAGGAATGGCCTGGGCTCCGGGAGAGGGGAGCGGGTGGCATGGCTGGCGGTTAGTGCAGTGATGTGACTAGTTGATGGCCCGGAAGGTGAGGAGCGGGATGGTGGAGGGCATCAGTATGAACCGGTAGACCATCTTCACATCCTCTTGCGTGATGGTGTCCACCTGGAAATGTTTCAGCACCTAGGACAGAGGCGCGGTTCCTGCTGATCCACCTGCACTGCTTGCAGACCCTCACCACTGTCCAGACCCGTGGTCCTGGCCCAGCCTCCGCCGCCTTGCCGCCTTGCTTCAGCCTCTCCATGTCTTCGGGCAGCATCACACACACCATCGGTCTCCCGCCCACGTCGTACCTGCGGGACAGTCAGAGCCCCACTGTGGGCCGTGCCGCCCTGGGCCCCACTCAGCAGATGACATCCGACCGTCTCCTGCTGACCTCTCCTTCTCCCTGACGGGTCTGAGCCGGCAGTCCCTACCGCCGCCTGACTGGAGGCTCTCCTGCTGTCCGTCTGCATTGTCAATCGGCAGCGGGTCATGGGGTGCTCTGACCTTGTGTCGGGGTCACGGACGCTCCACTGCGCAGCCCCTCCCACCTTCCCCAGCTGCAGAGCACCAGCGCCCGACTGGACGGGGCAGGGCAGGGCACCTGGCATGAACTGGGTGGCCAATGGGCACAGAGCGTCAGGTGTGTCGGCGAGGCGGGCAGGGAGGGCTTCACCTGAAAATGGGCCCCAACTCCTGGAAGGTCTGTTGCATCTGCAGGTGCAGATCCTCGGAGCCGTCCCTCCAGACCCGCAGCACCCTCAGCCACTTGTTGCCGGGACACTGCGGGATGGCTTCGAAGGGCAGCACTGCCTTGGGAGCCGGAGCAGCGCCTGTGGTCAGCGTGCGAGTCCAGCGCAGGGACAGCCAGGCGCCCGCCATCCACACGTCTGCTCTGGCCTGGAATGCCATGCCCGGGCTTCCTCCACCCCCTTCCTCAACCTTTTATCTCGCTCAGGGGCCTGACTGGCCAACTGATCACGTCATGGGAGGAAGTGTCCCTGGACCAGGCCAGGATGCCCCAGGAAGGGGTCAGGGCCGGAAGGGTCAGGGCTGGAGGTGTCCAGCCAAAAGGAGATGAATGAAATGGATGGGCGCCTCATCCCGCAATTCCGTGAGGCCTGCTGCAGGCTGGGTGGGTGTCCAGGGCAGGTGTGCGGTCGGGACAAGGGCTGAATCGGGCTGGGATGGTTGAGAGACCTCTCTGTCCTCCCCCCAGGTGAAGGGAGCAAGATGGATGGGCCCCTTATCTCATCAAGAGAAGAGAGGGGCCTTGGATATTTTTATCTCCTTTTCACAGGACCAAGAACAGGGGGTGGGGCGGGCTGATCACCCCTTCCGTTCACCCACGTGTGTTTGGTTGTTGCTCCCAGACCTCACGCCGGCTGCAGGGCCTGGACGCAGAGCCAGCCAGGGTCCCTCCCAGGGAAGAGGTTCAGGCCCAAGGGGCAGTGGGGAGAATCCAACGATAGAATTGGGGGTGGCACCGGGGCAGCCAGGGCCCTGTCTGTCTATCCGGTGCTGCTAAGGAGCCGTGAATTCCCAGAGGAGGGCTGCTCCTCAGGCCTAAAGATGAGACACAGCTGCTCCCAGGGCCTGTGCTCGGTGTCCTGCCCTCCTCATCCTGAAGAGGGCCCTCGGGGACCAGGCTCAGGGAGGAGCAGGAAGTGGTCCTGGGCTCCCTACTCTCCTGGCACTGTTCCCAGCAGGCTCAGGTGCAGCCCACCCTGCGGGCCGACCCCTGGCGGGGGCAGCATTCCATGGAGGCCAGCTCGCTGTCATTGTTCCCATTTTCAGAGAAGACTGAGGCCCGGGGTTCTGTGACCTCCCACAGTCCTCATCAAAGGGTCCCAGAGCTGTGCCTACCAGCCCTGACCCGGATGTGGGATGGGCCTGGGGGTCTTGGCTCAGGCTGGGGGCAGGATGGAAGGCGTGTGCAGGTGGTCGCAGGAGGGCCACCGTCCCAGTGTCGTCTCCTGTTTTACTTGCTCCAGCTCCAGAACCTTCTGGGAGACTATTCAGCTGGGGCGATGAGTCACACTCCACCAAGGCCCCTTCAGACAGATGAGACGTATGATGTACCTTAACCCCAAAGGGTGTCACAGCTGTCCTTGGGCAGGGACACAGTCCTCTCCGGATGCCTCTCCTACCACCGCCCTGCCTGTGCCCTCCACCCACAGCCTGCTGGCGTCCTGGTCTGTTCTTGGGGCACTCGGGGATGTGGACATGGGTCAGCTTTCGGTTGGCCGCAGTGATCCCCAAGGAAGCTAGGGCCACAGGCCAGTCTCTCTTCCAGAGGGACTGCGGGCAGCGGACCCCAGCACCAAAGCCCCCATCACCCCAGTGCCGCCCCGCCCCGGCCTGTCCCAGACCTACAGGGCCTCCTGGGCAGGAAAGCCTGTGTCGTGTAGAGCCCAGGTGGCTCCTGACCCGGAGCTGTGGGTGTGCAGAGCGGGCCGGGGAGGGCCGGGGAGGGCAGCCCACCCTGCGGTTCTCTGCTGGGGGAGGGGGAGGTGCTGCTGGTAGGGGCACACAGGACCCCCTGCACATGGCGGTGCTCCCAAGGTCCGTCGCGAAGGGGGCACAGCTGAGGGGCACACTGGCTTCCCTATCTTGGCAAAGGAGCTAAGACATGTGGACTCCTGGGGACAGGGCGGGTCCCAGGGCAGACCTCCCTGCTCCCCTGGGTGCTCCGAGGTGGCCTCAGGGCCCGTGGTCTGTGAGCAGCTGGGCCTCTCTCGGCTGATGCGCACTCTCC